TAAAACAACTAAATACCTATGCAAATTGCTGCAAGTTTTTCTCTTGTCTTCGCTTAGATTCGCATTTCATAAATATGTCAGTCTCTGTATTTATTTAACAACGACAATTAATAACATTGAAGTACGAGTATTTGAACAATTTCCGTACTGCCCTAACAAGTCATGCACCAACGGACGACACATAAACAAATTGAATTGCAAACACAGAGCCGAACTGCGCCCTCCTCTAATTTATTGGATGAACCCGTGGCCTCAATGAAATACGAGGGTGGACAAGAGCATTCATTACTCGACAGCTAAAAAAATACGATTACATTTTGCAATATGTTTCATTCGCAAATCGCAAACGTCTTACCTATTTTCGCCGAAGCGATGCATGCAGCAAAGTTTTCTCAAATTGATGCAGCTCAAAGCGAATTTATTTAAGAGCTTAAGCAAATGATAATAAATAAATGCACGACAGTTCAAGGTGAAATTCACTTCGAGAACACCTAGTATATTTACATAAGTGAAGTGGAAAACGCTCAGCCCAAATGTATGCAATAGAAATTTATCATGAATGTTTGTCTGAGCTTGTGTGTGCGTCGGTTTGATGTGGCCAGATCGAAAACCATGAGAATAGCGGTTTTATGGCTGAGTAGAATTCGTGATAACTCACTCATGCATGGGACTATGTGCCGTGAAGCGACGTCATAAGGCAAACAAATGGCAGCAGCTGTTGACTGAGGATAACTTGAAGCAGCTCACCTCATGCGGTTGACTATAAGATGAGAATAAGAGGGAGAAGGAGAGAGTGGGAGAACGAACCAAAGAGACAGTCTGTATGTGTGGGTTAACGCTGTTCAGTCACAAAGTTCCTATGGGTCTAACTTTAATTACAACTTTTGCATTCGATTATTTGCTTTTTCTTGTCCACAAGTGAAGAACAACTAAAGTTGAGTATTTTTAGCTTTGCAAGCTTAACAACTGAGCAAAACCAGCCCAGTAGAAAACGTTAACGAGCTGTGAGCTTTCATTTAAAATAACTGCATACGCTCATAAAAAGAGAAATATTCTTAAAGCTTCAACATACTTTTAAAGCTTATGTCCAAAATATTTGTATGAAATTAATTTAATTAATTTTATCAACCTTCACACTAACAGAAACTCTTATTTCCACTAAATAAAAGAATTTTTTATTTATTTTAAACATAATAGGATCTAACTTTTAAGCGCATAAGTAAGCTTTAAGCAAGTATCGGTTAACTTGTGAAGCTATGATAAAATATCGATACTGAGCTTTCTTACAAGCTTATTACAGAAAGTCCCAAACAAGGAAGCAAGTTAGTTCAGCTTTAAGCTTTCAGTTAGTTTTAATACATATTTACAATCTATGAGCCATAAAAGCTTCTATATGATTGTTAGAGGATGTTCCTTAATCTGTAAATTAATAAATGCGTCACTCGAGCCTTAAACCTAAAGCCGTTGAAAGCCTTTACGTGTTTAAAAGAATAAGAAAATCTAGATAAGATCTTCATATGGTCAATGTTCTTTTTAAATACTTCAAATACACTGAAAGCAATAAGTTAATTTATTGCACAAATGAGACGAATGTCCTTAGTAAACCGATTGCTGCAATGCTTGACTAACATTCTACCAATTCTAAAAAAAGGGCATCTGCCGGTCTAAAACAACTCTGGCAGTTCTTTTTTTTCCCTGATTTATCGATAACTTGGCCCGTAGATGTCAATAAATATTCATATCGAAATACATTTTCATTTTATATATTCATGTACCCATATACATTCATATGCATGTCTTTAGTTCATCATGTATGTGCTGCTATTTTATTTCAGTTCTTTTTCGATTTAGTTGCAATTCTTAGTATATATAAAAGTTGCAAGCAGTTCACTCGGTTAAAACTGCTGGCGATCGAATTTGTTTTTAACTTATTTATATTAATTCTCCCCTTGAAAAAGGTAAAAAAGAAGGTTCAGGGTATCCACTAGTTGGCACTACCGACTCGAGCATTCTTAGTTGTCTTTTCACTTGGTTTCTGCAGCTGCCTCTGGCTCGGTTTGTTCATTGTGTTGATTTAGTGCTTATGCAAATTTAATATTCGCTCGTCTGTTCCAACATCCACCCATAAGCATGAGCTAGCATCACAGTTGCATTATAAAAACAAAACACACACGAACACAAATCTCCCCCCACACAGAAGAGACAGACATTTATCTTTTGGGCTGAGCATTTATGAGTGCGCTTCTGCATAGTCACATTTCTATGTCCATCAGTGTATTTTGTGTTATTTATGAGCACAAGTGATAAATTGTTGCTGACCTACGCACCCGCACCAGCCCTGCCCCTGCCCCTGTACCACCTGAGCAGCTAAGCGAACATGTACTTTTTCGATTGCAGCCGAGTTAAATGCAATTTTCGTGCATTAAATTAAAAAGTTGGACGCTATTATTTAGACAAAGTGCAAAAGAATTTGCTAGCTGCAGCGACGATGCAGGCTTTTTGACACTTTAGTTTCGACACTTTGAAGTGCTTTTGTACAAGTTTTCGGCCGCCTGACAGACAGACGGACAGACGGACGGACAGACGGACAGACAGACAGATGCACAGACACTTGAGAGATACGAAGCAAGCGAAACTTTGGCCCAGGATAAACTTTGGCTGTTTTTTTTCTCTGTTCGTTAGTCAACTTGTTGCCAAAATAGAAAATAACAGCTAAGACTATAACTAAAAGCACGTATATGCGGGCAAGCCAGGCCGGGCAAGGCAGGCAGCCAAATAAATTTCAAAAAGTTCTGACAAAACATTTCGCTGGCAATAAATTTGCAACACAAACGCACACGCACACACAAACTGAGAAAAAATCATTCATACGCACTGTTGCCACTGCCACAAACAAAACGCAAGAAAACTATAGCATACACAATAGGGCGCTGCTCAACACTTCCATAGCCTGCTACGTATGCCTTCCTGTTGAGTCTGTCCGTCCGTCCGCCCGTCTGTCCGTCTGTCTGTCTATCTGTTTGTTTGTTTGCTCGTCAGTTGCTGCCACTGGCAACCACTGACTGCGACCTCTTCGTCTACTGCCCCACCACCTGCTACCATCTTGTCGTCATCGTCTTTGTAGTTGTTGAGCAGAAAATTGAAAAGTATTTCCAAGCATTGTTCTTCTTGTTGCCGCTCCGCTGTGATGTCGTCCTATGCAACAAATAACTGACTTGAAGGGTATAACAACTGTTTTATGTAGCACCATCGAACATATCAACTATATTTCTTATGTAAACCCACTTATATCAATATTGGATAAAGCACACGCGACGTATCATTTTCGACATCTGTCGCGAAGCCTTGACTAGCTTGTCTATTTTTAACTGAATTATTTATCTGGAGTTCTAAATATGACACGTGCTTTTAGATAGATATGTCTATTGATGTCTGGCTTAAAGTTAAAGTATAAATTCCTTAATCTAAAGTGCTTTTCCAACTATATATTATTTAAACGTATATTGTTTCGTAACTCTAGATCGGATAATATGTATACATATATAGATACATTTTTGAGATTTTCCTGCCCCGTAAAGGTCGCAGCCAACAAATCTTATAAAAATGCAATGGGTCGTATATTTAAATTTTACAAAATATATCGAACTATTTATCTGACATATTACCTAAAGGCAAGGAAAGAAACTTGAAATGATATAAACAATACAATCGTCATGTTTGTAAGAAAAACCTTGATATTGAATATATATAGAGCATATAAGCTTCGCCTTGGTCAAGTAACGAAAACTCTAGACTTTTTTCTTATTTTAGTGCTTGACAGTCGTGTGTGTGTGTCTGTGTGGAGGAGGTTTGTGTGTGTGTGTGTGAGTACTTTTGAAATGTTTATATTGCATGCACCAAAATCAGCACTTGAAGGTTTGTTTTGATTGCCATTGATGCGCTTGTATCGAAAAACTTGTTCGCTTTCCACTTGGTTGTGCGATGTCAGATAAAGGCAGCTGCAGAGAGATGTATTTGGTTGCAAGGCATAGACAAAGAGACCGACAGACAGACAGGCGGGCTAGCAGGCAGGCAGGCAGGCAAGCAGCCAGATAGACTGATGGAAGCAAACAGATATATATATACAGATAAGTATGCACATATATACGGACAGAGAGAACTCTTTCATTGCTTAATATAATGAAAAGTCATTCAATTGCACTTCGATTGTGTACACTTGCATGTTACATGTAGTTAAGAGAAGGATGAAAAAAATAGAGCGTCAGAAAGGTTATATTGCATTGCAACATTCTCTATATTTTTGTTTGTAAGTAGCTGTTGCTGCTGGGAAATGAAACGCTTTGAATATATTGATGCACTAATTGAAAAAAAGATATTTGGATTTTAGTTTTATTTTTTTTTCTTTTTCAAGCTCTTTTTTTGTAGCTGGAGTTCAATTAGAGCAGCTGCTTTGAAGCCAGCCAAAATGAACGTAAAAAGAGAACTTTTCAAACTTTTTGCACAAATAGAAATGAAAGAAATCGAGGTAAATGTTGAACGGTAACAAGATTGAATACATTTTCCTGCCTGAGCATAAAAAATGCATTGGCAATGCATAAAACGAATTGTAAACAATGCAGCACCATAAATACCATTTGCAAAGGGCAAAGTTTCTGTTCAGCTTTAATAACCATAACAACAAATGTAAAGCTGGCCTTTCCAATGCGAATAAAAATAACAAGGTTTATTTATGAGCCATTTGCACGCCACGCTGAAAGCGACAACTTTAACCCGCAAACATAAATTATTAATTAAAAGGACAGAGCTGAAAAGTTGACATGACTGAACACGAACGAAACGGAACGGAACGAAAGGGAATGAAACGGAACTGAATGGAATCAATATCAATTAATGTCACTTTCTCATCTCTCACTGTCTCTTCTTCTCTTCTTCTCTCTTCTCTTTCTTGCCATCATTGCTTTTGGCGCCGTCATGCGAATGTCAACGCTGCGGCCGAGTAGGGTCAAATTGCGAGGAAAATGTGGACGAATGCATGTCAAATCCGTGTCAGAATGGCGGACTATGCCGTGACCGTAACAATGGCTACACCTGCACCTGCCAGCCGGGCTATCTGGGGGATCACTGCGAGGTGGATGTCGCCGTCTGCGACACGGGTAAGTCAAGCTTATGGGTCCTTGTTAACCGTAATAATGAAAATGTTTCGATTTCGCTCATCTGATCCTTGGGCCACAGGCACCGGCGCCCGTTGCCAGCATGGCGGCGAATGCATTGAGGGGCCTGGTCTGGAGTTCAGCTGTGAGTGCTCAGCCGGCTGGCATGGCCGCATCTGTCAGGAGGAGATCAATGAGTGCGCCTCCTCGCCATGCCAGAATGGCGGCGTCTGTGTGGACAAACTGGCTGCCTACGCCTGTGCCTGCCCCATGGGTTACACGGGCGTCAACTGTGAAGAGGAGATACTCATCTGTGCGGACAATCCCTGCCAGAACAACGCGCTCTGCCTCATGGAGGAGAACATACCCACATGCTACTGTGTGCCGGACTACCACGGCGAGAAGTGCGAGTTCCAGTATGACGAATGCCAGCTGGGCCCGCGCTGTATGAACGGAGGCGTCTGCATTGATGGTGTCGATACCTTCTCGTGCTCCTGCCCCCCACTTCTTACGGGCATGTTGTGCGAATGCCTGATGGTGGGCGAGGAATCTCTGGATTGCAACTACACGGCACCTCCGATATCTGCACCACCTGTGGTGCCCATCACACCTTCCATGTTCCCGTCAACGTTGGCGCCTCCCACTGTGCGACCGGTTACGCCTCCAGAGACGACCATGGCGCCAAGCACACCGCCTGCAGCTCCTGCAACCACCACACCAGCAGTTGAGCTTTCGTCTTCATCGGAGGAGCACTTGGTGGGGGTAAAAGTGACGGCAGCGCCTCCAGAGAGCGATAGTCACAGCATAGACAAAGATCTGACAACGAGAAGGCCGCACCTAGAGCTGGAGCTTACGCCAGAGATGCAGCCAACAGCCGGACCCACCACACCACCAGCAGGCAGCTCCTCTTCCGTCTCCTCCTCCGAGGAAAGTCACGCCATCTACACGACCATACCGCCGGTGCCCGCACCCGGCGTCACCTCTTCCTCTGCCGAAACTTCCTCGGAAGTGATTACCTCCGAGGAATACACAACGGTGCGGCGCTTCGATATTAGCGGCAGTGGTGGCAGCAGCTCCAGCGAGGAACCCACCACCACAATGCGCCCCACATCACCCCAAAGGCCGAGCATAACCATTGCCGTGGACTATGCTTCCTCTGGCAGCTCCGAATCTGTGGAGCAACCGATGACTGTAACCACACCCGGCAGCATCTTTGTCCATCGGGTGACCACATTTGGAACAAGCATCTCTGTGGACTACGCCCCCACACCGACGCCCTATTTTCCGCCAGAAACCACATTACGTGCAACGAAGTCTCCCCTGGAGGAAACAACGCGACATTTGTGGACCGAGCTGCCCACTACGGCGGCACCTTTTTTCACGGATTACCCAGCTGAGGTGCTCATTACCACACATCGCACCAGCGCAGGCAGATTCACCACAGTGCAGCCGCCCACACCACAACAGGAAACCACCACAGCTCCACTGGACTATGAACCACCCAGCGTGGAGCTAACCACGTCACAAGCTCCTCACATTGTGGTCACCATTCTGGAGGGCAACACAACGCTTCCAACCACAACATATATGCCAACAATGACAACCCAGCGCCTGCAGCCACAAACAGCTCACGCAGCCACAGGAATACCGCTGGAGTGGGAGCCAAGCACCACACAGCTACCGCCGGCTGTAACCATGCCCATGCCCGTGGAGGTAACCACTTCCCAAACCATGACAACAGAGGATTTGCTTGGCCCGCCGGCGCCGCCTCTGATGACCATCGAACCACCTCGGGAGACAACCACTCCCAGAGCAACAGGTACCCTGGCACCCACACCCATGCCTACGGAGCCGCCAACCCTTCCTAGCCTGCCGGCAGCCACTGTGCCACCAACCCCACCATCCACACAGTCGGCACAGACTATGCCACCGCCCACGCCACCGTTGCATGCCTACAATACGCCCGGCCAGCCGGAGTTGCCCGCGCAGACGAAGCCGCCGGTAACCGAGAGCAGTGAGGAGGCGGAAGGTGCCAACACGGTAGCCATCGGCAGTGCTGCTGGTGGTGCAGAAGAAAAATCCGGCGATGTCGACTGCATTAAACTCGGCTGCTACAATGGCGGAACCTGTGTGACCACATCTGAGGGATCCCGGGTGAGTAGCCACGATTTCTCTGTGAGCCCTATTTGAGCATTGATGGACTTCATCGATGGACTCTCCAAACTGGTTTATTTGAACCCTTCAAAAACTGATAGAAACCAAAGTGAACTTCACAATTTTCAACCCCATTAAGCGGCTAATTGGCCATAAATCAGCCCCTGTGGGAGACTCCTGTTACATTACCTCCCGCTGCAGATCTCTGTTTGCCTATTGGCGGGTCATTAAATTAGCGTGAAATTACCTTGGCAATAGGCAGCCAATAATTTAACTAAACTACAACAAATTTAAATAGAACAATTAGCACGACTTTGTATTACCCTGTAAACTCGCATTTGCAAATTTAAAAAGCTGAAAAGAATAACGATTCTAATTTTGGTAGTATTGAACTATTATAATTAATGATTTAGTGTTAAATTCTAAGTTCTAACAACGATGCAATACTCTACTCACAATTTTATTACAACTTCCTATTATACAAATACTTATTTACATATTTAGCATTCCCTTCTCAACCCTTTGGAATTACATTTGCGGCAGGCATCTACGACAATAACTTTCCGAGTGAAATTATATACATAAATTTGAGGCTAGCGTATTGTCCAGCTTCAATTTTAATGGCTTTCGCAAATTCATGAAACTTACAGTTGATAAATAAATCCTCATTTGTGCAGAAGGGAGAAACTTTAATCACAGCATTTAATAGGCAGCAACGCGTTGTACGAGATAGAACCGCACACAAAATGACAAGTCGTAATGGCAAACACAGATATAGAACACTCCCCGACCTCGCACCACGCTCCTTATTAAACACACACACAGAACACACATACACCCACAGCAGAGAGAAGCATATGCAGATTTCATGTGCCTAGGCCAATGCATAAATAATCATGTAGGTTGTCGAGCAACTAAATGTGGCACAGTGGCAAGGGCCAACAACATTGCCTGCAACATTTGTAAGCTGCTTACTTAGGTTGGTTCAAATCCACAGAAATGGCTGCTGCCCGAAACACACAGGCAACAGCGCAGATGGCACAGAGTTACATTAGGACAAGTCAAGTCCTAGAGCAGGCAATCCAAATTATGCTCGACAACAATTTATGCACACACATAGGCATATTTAATACAAGGGCTTTCATTAAATTCTGATTGCACTTTGCAACCAATCAGTTAAATATGCGAGAAAATTTAAATAGATTAAAGGCAAATTGTCAAATGACCATGAAACCTATCATGCTACACAAAGGGCCCGAACAGAAAGAAATAACATAAAGGATTTGCATTGGGGATGTCTGAATATACAAAAGTTGAATATACCCAAGTATATATTCAAAAAATATTCATTTCACAAAATCATTCATTCTTTGTTGTCCTTGCAGGCATCTGCATAGCATATCATCCATATATTCCTATTATCCAGATCAACTATTTTTTCATTTCCTATATGAGCTGCATGATTAGAAGTCCGATGTTGCTTATATGTTAGTTAAGCTGCTAATTAAAAGTTCTTTTAAAAGTTTTGTGCGCTAAGTCGACTATTTTTTTGCAAAAATGTTTATAAAAAACTAGTAAGAAACCTGTTGTTAAGTGTGCTTGACTACAAAATTCCCTGCACTCCTCTGTCCATAGAACATTTTACTTTTTAGCATCACGCATTGAATATGGAATAGGAATTCACTGAGGTATTTACAGAAGCCAAAAAACCTAGGGTATAGCTTTCAAAATAAGGTTTTTCAATTTTGAGGAGAATTGGAGACATCCAAAAAGTTAATTATTCGTAATCTTACACAGATATTATACGAGAACCTACATATCAAATTTGATATATCTACCCATTTTTAATGGGAACAGTGAGCGGAAGTGCTCGACTAGGACACCAACTACCCAACGCCGAAATGCCGTCACACACATTCAAGCTTCCTCCTGTGCAGACCAAAACCCTTTAAGCTCCTATTAGCTGCAAGGTATGTGCATCGCGGTATTAATGATTTGATAGAAGCTTGTGCTGCGGGGCTAATGGGAGAAAATATATACCAAATGTCTCCAATAGAGTTTCTCTGAGGCTGAGCTGAGGTGTGCCTGTTTCTGCCCGTTATATATACGGAAATGCCGTTCTTTACCCATTTAGAGTCCAATTAGTAGATAGAGTAGAATTTAGGGAAAATGACAAGTGCTTTTTAATCAAAAGTATACAATTAGCAAAATAAAGACGATATTTTAATTGTAAATAATATCAGCTATAAGTCCACAAAAGTTATTTTACTTGAACACAATAATTTACTAAATTGCCTTATTCTCACTCTTACTTTAATTTCCTGCCAAAACTTTTCAAAAATAAAACTAAAACTGTCTGTTTCGTGTAGAAGCTCTGCTGCCATCATCAAAAGCCAATTGCCCTTGCAACAGAATAGTTAAGAATCCTCTTGTCAGTGACGTTCAAAATTTCAGTTAAAATCAGACAAAATAGCACAACAGCAAAATTTGTTTTAAAACAAAAAGCCACAAAGCGTACGCCCCCATTCGAGCAGCAGGCAACCCTGGAGTGGGGAGGGAGGGTGGAATAGGTAGGTGGAATAGGTAAACAGTAGGCGAGCTGTATGCTCATTCAACTATTTATGAAAATACTTGCGGTACGGTAATTTTCCCCAAAAAAGTTTTATGGCCAGGGGTTCGGGGCTGCAAACCGACGCAGAGGGGGAGGATTTTACATTTGTGTCTGACAAATTGAGTGGCATTAGGGACAATGCACAGGCACGTACATTTGCATTCCCACACAAACAATTCTAGGCTACTAATAACTGCCACATCGGCAATTACAAAACAAAGGTGTTAAAATTTCAACTAATTCGTAGGGGATGGTCTTCTAAAATATCTGGATATGGTAACTGTTCACCACATTGGGTATTCTTGCTATACAACACTGGCATATTATATGGGCATTTAGATATTCCAAACACACATACGAAATGTATGACCACATTTAAATTAATTTTAAATTCATATACTTTTGTCTTGGTTTTCTCAAACGTGTGATTTTTCGATTCTATTTAATTGCATATCCTTAAACATTTACGTTTCAACACTTATTCTTTCTTTCACAACACTGAATTGTTTTAGATTCGATTCTATCAACACATTTGCCACATACAGAATAACGGATTAAGCAACTACTGTTAATAAATAGATACATGCTAACACTGGCCAAAGTTTGAAAACTTTTCCGCACTGTTTAAAGTTATAATTTTTATTTAAATATTTAGACAACGAGGTAATTTAACAAGACAGATCTTTACTGACAACGTTTAGTGACATAGTGTTGACTTTCTTAAAAACTAAACGCACACACATACACACATGTTTAATTTTCCTAACAAATTTAACACTTGGGAAAGACCGCAGAATGACTGAGAAAGGTAGAAAAACAGACAGCAGGGTAGACGAAAAGCTAACACAAACAAATGACAGGTGGGTGTAAGTGTGTTTGTGAGCGTGTGTGGATATGGGCGTAAAAGCTATTTGAAATTATTTCATAGACCATATGCCACTTTATTGTTGCCAAGTAATTTAACCACACACAAAAGCGCCGAGTATGTGCGTGTGTGTTTGTAGTCCTTCCGTTAATTCTGAGCATCGCGTCAAATACGTGAGAAGAGAAACATATCTACATACATGCGTCTGTTTGCCGAAAGAGAGGGAGAGACATAAGCACATGCAGACACGCATACACAGACAAACAGTTAGGCAGACACTTACATATGTCAGCTGTCATTTCGTTTACCCCAGTGGGGGCTATGACGGGTTGACGGGGAGAACGAGCTTATGAAAAAGCATATTTTTAACGTGTCTAGTCAAAAAGACAGAGAATGTGAAAGAAGAGAGCGAGAGCGAGAGCTGCACGCAAAGTGGCACTCGCACTCAGCGAAAGTCACTCGTAAAGTGGCATTAAGCACATTTCAAGTGTCAGCTGCTGGGTTTGGGGTTTTGCAAATGTTTGCTTGCTTTTTGCCCCCTTCCCCTTCTCTATCTCTCTCTCTCTCCCTCTCCTTCTGCTATTTGTCGCATTTGCATTGCGCGTTCTGGCAACGCCAACGCCAAAAGCTGACGCCACTAATGAAAACTTTGCTGAGCCCTTTTAAACGCTCACCACATGTCTGCGTGTCTTTGCCTGCAACGGATACACGGTACATGTCTCTCCATGGTTCGGCATGGTCTCCGCGCGTCTCTGGCCTAATGTGTCCTGAGTGTCGCCTTTCCGAAAAATATGCTCTTCACAGCTTTTAATCATTTTTCTGATGACATTTAAGGACGTGTTACAATTGGATTGTTGCCCGCATTGCCTTTAAAGCAGCTATCAAATGCGTCAAAGAACAGTGTGTGCACACTTTTCACAAATCTGCCGTTATAATGTTCACGGGAAACTCCAGGCTTTGACATTTATATGACTGAATTAAAAATAGAAGCAATATTTATTTTAAAATTTTTCTACATTTTGCTGTGAAAAATGACTCATGCCATTTGGAGAAATTTGCATAACAGGAATTTTACAAGGAAAATTACAAAAATTTTAGTCTGCTCTAATTATGCCCTTGCAGAGGATAAAATAGTATGAAAGAGAAAAGAGCGTATTATAGGAGAGTTGTGCTTCAAGCTACTTTGAAATCTCTAAAATCTACTTTGATAAAGTTGCAAAGGTCATCGAAAAATGGAGCCACATTTAGCTAGCTCAAAAGTTTCGAGAAAAAATCTGCAAAATACACATCAAATAATTGTTATGAGAGCGAACTTTAACACCAAGTGCTAGGTTTCCTTTTTTATGCATTGCAACTCCGCAACTGCCAAAGCCCGGAAAAGCTGATGTATGAAAAGTTTTTGCATAACGGAACGCATACGAAAATGGCGTACGCAAAAAAGTACTTGTTGTATGTAGCTACACAGTTTGTTGCCCCTAGAGGCAGAAGGCATGCAGCATGCAGCATGCAACCTGACCCTGGCAAGCAAGCGTCTCCAACAGCTGCAACATCAGGCGTTGATTTCTGTGTAATGCCTTTCCTGAGCACGAAATACAAAATGAAAACAACGAGATGGGATGCTGCCGGGTTGAGGAAGGATACCTCGTTACTTTAGATGTTACACCCAATCCTTTGACTGCCTGCCATGCAGGCATGTGCATGATTTGCCCCACAGGCCATGATTATTTGCGCAACAAGCGCGTTGAATGCTCATTATTTCGATAGGCAGTAGAGTATTACAAATTGGGCAGATTGCTCTCAGATTTATTTTAAGCTGATGACTTTCGAACTGGATGTCATCTGCTTACCGAATGGTGATGTCTACGCTTAAAGCCGTTGCTTAGCTTGTAATCCTTTCTGCTAAATTATTGTCTTGCCAAGACTTTTAAAGACTTTAAGGTAGGATACATATATCTTCAAGGTGCCGAAAACTTGCCTATTCGACATTATGGAATTTCTAAAAAGCTTTTTTTACAAGTACTCAGCTTTCGATCAATCTGTTCAATGAAAGCTAATTTACAAAGTAGTTCGAAGCTGAACGATTTTTGCTGTTATGAGATAAGCAGATCTGCGACATATATTTTGTCAATGACATAGACTACTACCACACTAATATTAAGCACGCCTGCTCCAGGCTATTCATAAAGTTTTTATAGTTATTTCAAGAACAACTCGGATCTGTCATAGCCAAACTTTTCTTTTCTGTTCAAGAAATGCAATCAATTTGTTTCCTTTTTGAATCTTTAACCTGGTGAAATTGGCAAAGGAAAAAAAGCCTGCCTTTTTTTATTAAAGCATCAATATTAAATACTCAAAACCTTAACTGAACTGTTTACTGTCTACGTCTACTGCAATTTGAACAATCAAACGAACAAGCACTTCAAGAGTGCGCGTTTCAATCCCGAGAAGCTAAAACCATTTGAGAATTCTAATAAAACTCTAACAAAACTGCGCAGTACTTTATAGTTTATTGTTGTAGTTTATTGTGCTATAATCTGCAATTAACTCAAGGTAGTACAGCCTTTTATTATTAAATAAGTGGAGGGGCGAAACAATTAAGGCAAGCTGGCGTAAATATGCGAAAAATGTATGTGCACTGGAGCTGAAGCAAATTGCAACAATTTTAATTTATTTTTGCCTGTGCCAAACAAAGTTTTGGGCCAAAATACTCTGGAGAAGAGTCCTTCAAGGCGAGCGAGCTAGCGAGCGACTCCTTTCAATAAGCAGTAGCCTGGGCGAACAACAAAAATGCCAATAAATTGAAAAGCAATATGAATTAACTTTTTGGCGCGCTGCTCGCCTGCAGCGTTGTCCTGCTGCGTCATTGTCCTGGTTTTAATAATTCATGCCCCGCCAAGGGACACTTTAAGTGCAGCGCATCTGCAACAAGGAGCCTGCAACAGCACCCAAAACTTTCGTTGTAACTTTTACTTTAAAAACCCGCAGCCCTGAGAAACGCAAAGAGGGGGAGAGAAAGCGAGAAAGTGACCCACAGACGACCCCATCAAATTGAACAAATGAAGTGCAAAGCAACTGGAGAGTGGGGCAAACTATTAACTGGCGACAGCCTTGGTGACCTCCAGAGAGAAGGAGGGGGAAAGGGAGGGGGAGAGGGAGCATGGTCCCAGCCACGCACCTAATGGAAGTTGGTCATATGTTTCAGAAAATATGAAAAATTCTCGCGCTCTCTCGAGAAGTCAGTCATGTTCTTGAACTCATGTTCATAATAGTTTTCAAAACTTTTAGCATGCCTCACACTTAAAGCACACATTTAAATTAATAGTCACAAGTTTTAAGCACTGAAATTGCTGCGGCATATTATTATGAACTTAAAAGCATTTCCAGAAATCTCTTTTTATGTGCTCCAAAAACCTCTTTCATTAATGACTTTGTACAGCATCAATGATTTACGTTTGTAAAGTAAAAGCTTACTAATATAACACTTTATTTTTGATAAGAAATATGTCCAAGTTATGTTAATAAATCCAAAAAATTAAAAATTAAATTAAGACCAAGAGTTCCCCAATAGGAAATATCCTGTATCTTTTTCTATATAAATAAATATAAACTCAAGCTTGAAACTGATTGGAAACAATCCGGATCCACACGTTTCATAGAAGGACCTTTTTACCCATATTGAACTGTTTTAGGATGTAATTAAGAAAGGAGAATCGATAACATCAACATTTTAAAATCATGCGTATTTATGTTAATTAATACTATCTACTTAGATAAACATACACAAGCTTTAACAATAACCAGCAACAGCTCGCTTTCTCAAGTGGAATACGAGGAAATGAATGCACTTTTTGACCTTTTCACCTATTAATTACACCTCAAAATCAACCCAGCGCCTCCTACCCCACCTGCATAAAAACATATGAATTTCTAAAAGGAATTTACATAGCCGCACACATATACAACACAATTACAATTGCAATTAAAACAAAAAATTAAAAAGGAAGCACGTATTTAAATGTATGTGTGAAAATGCATAGAGAAAATGTCTGGCCAAAATCTTTAATAGCTTTTATGTTTCTTACGCATTGTTGATGAAGTTTTGTGCAGTTTTGTATTATCTTATGCCATAGAATATACCCAAAGTTTAAGGGTCACCGCCTTAAAATTGTGGCTTTTTATTACCTTTTTATTTATTATGCATTTTTTATTTTCATTTTCTTTTATTTGATTTTGTAAGATGAGGAGGCGGTAGCCGAATTTGTTGCTCAAAATTAATTATTAATTTTTTATCGGTTGCATGGGCACGGGGCAACTTATCGATCATCTGAAACATACTCTATCGAGCGAAGATCTCAATTTTATTTATTCTCAAGAAAACTTTACAGAAAGTCCGTTGACTGTTTTTGAAGAATCTTTTAGATCTAGCATTTAGAATACTCACAATGCTCCTTGAAAATCTCAAAAACTAATATAAAAACGATATTTTTCTTTCAATTCTCTTAGTGTGTTTGCCGCTTTGACCGCCAGGGGCCGCTTTGCGAGCTGCCGATCATCATCCGGAATGCCGCCTTCTCCGGCGATTCGTATGTGTCGCATCGCATCTACAAGGACATTCCACAGCATGAAGCCCTGGACGCGGTGCTGCCCATGCATATACAATTAAAGGTGCGCACCCGGGCCACCAATGGACTGATCATGCTGGCTGCCGCCCAGGGCACCAAGGGTGGCCACTACATGGCGCTATTCCTGCAGAAGGGTCTCATGCAGTTCCAGTTCTCGTGCGGGCTGCAAACGATGCTGCTGAGCGAACTGGAAACGCCTGTGAATACTGGCCACGAAATTACCATTCGAGCTGAGTAAGTGAAACGCCCGGCCACGGAATGCAATTATGTGGTCCACAGCGGGTCGGGGCACAGGCTGGGGATCAGGGGTCGTGCAGCCCACATTGATAGCGGCGAGGTCGGCACGTTAATTAACTTTTTAAATTGCGCCTGACACGAGTGTCGAGTGCAGAGTGCAGCTAGCGGGTCACTGTCATTGCTGGGAGCGCAGGCTGCCTGGGGCACAGGCCACTAAAGTTGCCTTATGTCGATTTCCATGCCGTTTGGCCACCACAAATTATAATGCTTCAAGTGTAGAATAAATTGCGCTAGCTCCGCTTTTTTTTTTGAACATTTCCACGACCACAGTCGCTCCCTCGGCTCCATCTCACATCTGACTGTTCCTTGCGCCGCGCATTCGCCGATCCTTGGCTTCGCATTCATGCGTAATTAGTTGGCGTAGTTGGTTTTTGGCTGAAATTTAATTTGCCGCATTTTCGGCGCTCGCAACGGAAGCGGAAGTTGAATGGCTGCGATGGCCCCCAGAGACAGAGTAGAGGGATACTGGGCCAAAGCGAAAGTAATGTGGGGCTCTTGCGTAATTAATCGTTTAACTAACAGTTCCTGGAATTGCCGCCACTTTCGAATGCGAAACGTAATGGCGTATAAGACAATTGCGATAACAAAGGAACACACACAACTTAGACACATCCAAAAGAAGCGGCAACTTTTTATATAATAAGCTGAAAAAATATGTTCAGAGGAAAACTAAGCGCGATAAGATTCAAGAGGATGTCCATACAGATTGCATTCAAGAGCTTTCCATTGTTCAAGTCGTCCTTGTACGACCATAATTGACAACTTGGCATTGCTAAACTTTTCCCTAATAGTAACTAGACAGCTTTATCGAAAGCTCGAAATCACCCACAAGAATATTGACCCATTGTAAGATTTTGGGTTATATGAGCTTGTCGACGGAGGTATACAATTCAGATTGGACAATTGCATAGGAGGACTCCCTTAAACACCAAGATTCTTCAAGAACATAAGCAGCATATATTTGATGTGAATAAAATGAATTGAACAACAAAGACACCTCTTAAGTCATTTCCGATTCACACCCACATAAGCTTTTATCCACTTCTCTGTTGTTAGTCCTTGCAGTTTAATTTATGCCCGACTAAACTCCATATGCTGACCACAAGACTAAATAAAACATTTAATTGAATACTTATTCCAATTTTGAGGGCGAGCTATAAGGACATGTGATCATTTGCATTTAACAAGTAACTTTGGACTCGGCCATCAATTTGATGGGCTCAGCCATATGGAAAATGACCAAGTAATCATTTTATAAAATCAACAAGCAAATGAATTCCCTCAACGCGGCAACGACGAGTGGCATAAACAGCACATTAAGGAATAAATATATCTGGCAAATAGGTTGGCTGGCTCCTAAAGTAAATATTTTGTGCATTGAGAGCGGCCTAAGAAGGTTGAAGAGAAACAAGTGAAATAAACTAATCGGGAGGGGCTGACGGGCAGATACTCTGTACCCTTCTCTTACACAGTTATACAGATAAAATCACATTCCACACAAACACGCGGCAGCGGCTGTGCATTTTCTTTCTTCAAACCCGCAGCATGGAAAATTCCTTTTTAAATAATTTCGGTTTTTATAGTCGAACTTGCTTGAAACTTTCACAGCTTAATTAAGGCAACCCAAATGTATGTTGAGCCAAAGGGTAAAAAAAAAAAAATTAATAAGAAATTATAAAAATAAATTCTTGAACAGGGTATACTATAAGAGAATCTAGATGACCAATTTTGTGTCTCTCAGTCGGCTAATCTAGGTCCCAAATTACCGAATGGATTACCGAACTTCACCCGTGGAGTCGGCGAAGCTTCCTTCTGGCTGTTACCTACTTTTGCGCAAAACCAATATACCCCTTTTTAGCCATTTTCAATGGCAACAGGGTGTATAAAAAACACCAGACTGGCCTATATAAATAATAAACTGTTGGAGCGAGATGGCCATAGTAATAGGCATTTGATATCTCTTTCGTGTTTTTATGACTATCGAATCGACCACAAATTTACTTTTTAGCACTTGGTCCCAGCTCGGGGCATGCTCATGTGCCACAAAACTGGGTCCGCCAGTGGATTTACGAGCAACAAATTTATGTTTGTTGCCTATTTTTATTTGCCTTGCGTGCTTAATGGCCATGCCGCCAGGACACTTCATGCCCGCCCCCTCCCGCTTCAGCTCCATTTCCACTTCACTCATTCGCCCAGAAGCGATTTAGCGTCTCCCAGTCGCGACAATGGCAATGAACACAGACCTTCGATGAACTAGTTCCACACACAAGCACACACACACAAACACATACATACAATTATGAGTGTCCTGCGGTGAAAGTGCTGCTTCAACTTTTGCCATATTTGTCGAGTTGTTGCCTTTGGGTAGATTTAACCAGGGATGGGGCTGGGTCGTGCCTAATGAGCCTAATGCTCCACGCAATTGACATTTAACTTGGGGATTTTCGAGAATTCCGTGTAATTAGAAAACAATAACAATTACCGCTAGACGCGCGCGATTACGGAGCTTTTACTTGAAGAGCCTTTTGCTCTTAATCCATTTAATTCCGTTCCAGTTCGTGCTATGCAAATCAAATTAAGTGCAATAATGGCCGCAACTTTGCCGCCATCTTAAAATGAAAGAAAACCGTTTGTTTAACCGCGCAATTTGATTGGCCGCTTCAACAATGCAAATGCACTTTAAGGTTCAATCAACCGCAGCTAATTGAACCAAATATAACAATCTGTTAAGTATGAAAAGCTGTGCGAATGTCTTAAAGTAGTTTACTTATTTTACGCAAAATTAGTTTCTTGGCATCGACTGCGGCCAAACGCCAATTGTGAGGGATTAAGAAGGTCAAAAAGGAATTGAATTCATTCGATAAAAGCAAAGGCTAATTGTGTATTTTACCTCAAGGGCAGCCCGCTAGCGATTGTGGTTTGAAGACAATTATATTTATGAATTCCTCTTGAACGTTTAACTAGTAAATAGTTTGGTTTATGTATAAAAGCTACGTTTTCTTTAAGGAAATTCAATTACTCGACCCTTTTTGCAGCATTTACTTTGATCTAATATTGACAAAGGATACACTTTCGCAAAAATTATTGTGAGTTTATTTTTCAGTTAAAAAAATGTCTGTTGAATAAAATCGGATACCAATCATAACAAACATTTGACTCACATGCGACAAATATATCCGTGTTCATCTTTTGTCAAGAAACATTCTGCATTCATTGCATTCTCAAAAAATATATATAACAATACAATTTTGTGTCTCGCTGTTCCCATTAAATGTCAACATTTAAACGTAATGAACGCACTGAAATATGAATCCCGCAGTTCGAATATTGGACAGAACACACAAAACTGACAGACAAATAAAATCGGAAACACTTTGGTAAAAGCGTTGAACAAAAAGCATTCAAATAACGTCAGGTGACATTCCTGCTACGAAACAATAAAGAATTCCAGAACCACACAAAAAAAAAGGCTCTCTATAGAAGGGTCGAAAAAAATTCCGTGTCCCTGACAGGCGATACAAAAATTTGACAGTCGATTGACATTACGGCCAATTGGCGGTTCGGGGTTGCATAGTGGGTCGATGATTATAAAAAATGCATAGTTCTTGTAGAGATAATGAAATAAATCCTGTATAAAATAAAATTAAAGATGGGCAATTCAATAGTTTGTACTATTATTTAGTTTTGCGATCCGCACTTATATTTTAATAAGATTATTAAAAATGTTTTTTTTGTCCCACTTTCAACTGTGTGCAGTCCACAGTGCCGGGACTTGGGTTTAAGTTGGGGTAGCAAAAAAGGTCAGTTCAGAGGAAAAAATCTGCCTGATGCGGGGGTTTTATGAGGCATCTTTGTGCGGGCGTCATAAATATTTGCACGCTTTGGCATGCTGGAAATAACTTTTTCTTCTCTTATTTTATTTTTTTTATATTTATTTTTGTTGGATACCCCACGCAGCAGAAGGCAACGAAAAAGTTGCCCGCAGTGTGCGGCATATTAAATATTTTATATGTGCACTAGCCCGACAGGACTACCCAAAAGGACGAGGCCTGGGGGCGCTTTTATCGTTGCTCATCCTACCAATCGCTTGTATGCTTTCAGATTGGACTTCAGCCGCAATTACACGCACTGCAATGCCTCGCTGCTCGTCAACGACACGCTGGCCATGTCCGGGGATCAGCCGACATGGCTGAAACTGTTGCCGCCGCGCCTGCACACGCCCGAGGTCATACTGAACACTTGGCTGCATTTGGGCGGCGCACCCCAGGCGCCAATTGGCCTCATTATCGAACTGCCGCCTGCCCAAAGCGGCACAGGCTTCACCGGCTGCCTCCACACACTCCGCATCAACGGACAGTCGCGCGAAATATTCGGGTAAGTCCTTTCTACAGCGGGTAGTCATAGCTAGGAGCTACTGTGCCAGGTCGGCCAGTCTGTATGCCTAATGAACAGCAAGAGAAGTTATGACGCTGCCGCCTCTTAAATCTTTATGCCACATACGCATCTGACCCGGGGCACAGCGTAGAATACCACAAAGTTCCAGGTGGAGCCGGATAAAAGCTCTGTGAAAATGCAGTAAAAACGCCTGTAGGATTAAATGGGCGGTAAGCCCGTCCAACCCGGGCACAAAACAGTAACAAAAACTTGGCACATGCGAATAAATAAGCTAACGAAATTCCGAAGTTGAACTGAACAGAAAATCTTACGGCAAAGAAGAAAACATCAATCAGTTAAATACAAGGATTAAATTTCTTTAAAGACTTGGACAGAGTTAGAAGAAATATATACAAAACTGATTAATTAAAGCTTAATCTTTCTCTTATCACTCGATAAGGTCCAACAATATTCCCAGTAGTTGAAGTCTCAGCTAGTTCTATGATAGTCATTCATGGAAATGACGATAATAAATAAACAACTAAAATATATTGATATTGTTTGATAAAATCTATGGACAAACTTATCTGAAAAATCAAAAACAAAATTTATGGAATTTCTATTAACTTTTCTTAAATGTGTCGAACATGAAAATCGGACAACTACTCGAGAGTGCCCGACTAGGATATACCCTGAATCCCGCGTCTTTTTATAAGACTATACAAAAATTCTAGCTTTGTTCTTTACATAAATATACAGAGACGCACACACACGCCCACACACACGCACAAACACACGCATGTACGCACACCTCTCGCCTAGAAGTTGACTATGCGGTTGCTACTGAATATCGTCAGTGATTATAGTCCGATTTTTTGTAAGACTTTAAGGATGCAAATTTATGTATTTAGTAAAGTCCAAATTTGGGTGATATTACATCAGGTTCTCATAGCTCTCGAGCGTTGCCTAATATAACAAGTTTTAAAATTGAGTTTAATCGATGTTTTGGAAATGGAAATGGAAACGAGTTATCGACTAAAAATAAAAGAAAACTCATTTTACGCGGTATAATGGAATATATATAGTATTTTAGTATAGTATTTTTCTAGCTAATGTAGTTTCACACACTGTTACACACGTCCTGATTCAAGAATAAATATACTATTTCGAATCGAAAAAGTTCTGCACAACAATTTTTAATCATATTGAGTAGGTTCAGGGTAGAAAAAAGGGCAATCCTAAGCAAATTCGCTGTTAGGGGCTCAATAAACACTTGATCGATAATATTATCGACAAACTAAAATAAAGAAATAAATATCCTTGTATCTTCGGCCAAAAAGAATAATTAAGAAACAATATATAACTAGTTAATCGAACAGTATATTGTGCTCTTTAGATAGAGTGTCAGGGAAAGTTTGAAAGTCTATTCTGAGTTCTGGTCCTTAATTTCCATTAGCAATGATAAAAATGCAGATTAATTTGTATTATATTAACGATAACCAATCGCTGCCTTAACCCATTGACAACTTAAGCCAGCAGACAGAAGGCAGGCACAATCTCAAAGTTGAAGGGACATTGCGGATTAAATCAATTTTACCACTCTGGAAACGATTGAAAAGAGGAGATTCGAGTATTAAATAAGAGAAAGAAGCGCGAGGCGATAGCTGCGAAAGCCATTTGTCCATTTGTCACAAACAGCCGCTCGGATGGGCAACAGGACAGATGGCAGATAGAGATGGGTGGGCCAAGCGGAAGGTGGTGGGGTGAACATGGGGCAGGCGCTGACAGGCGGGGTCGCGTTGGCTGCGGGCAATTGGCATGCGAATTAGCAGGCTCATGAAATTAGAGATGACGTTAACCAGCCTTTTGACCGACCTTCCCCTCGCTGTTCCCTTTTTTCCGCACATGCTAGCGACGCACTGGACGGCTTTGGCATTACGGAATGCGGCTCGTTGGCCTGCCTGTCGAGTCCCTGTCGCAATGGCGCCGCGTGCATCAAGATCGAATCGAACGAGCTGGACGCGAACGGCGACAAGGCCGAGAAATGGAAATGCAAATGCCCCACCGGCTATATGGGGCCGACCTGCGAGATATCCGTTTGCGAGGACAATCCCTGTCAATATGGCGGCACCTGTGTGCAATTTCCGGGCAGCGGATACCTCTGCCTGTGTCCGCTGGGCAAGCACGGCCACTACTGCGAGCACAGTAAGTGATTTATTGTATACGCTTTCATTTTTGTTGCTCCCACTAAGTGCTTGCATCGGCTGTGCAGATCTCGAGGTGGCACTGCCCTCCTTCTCGGGCAGCGTTAATGGCCTCTCCTCGTTTGTGGCCTACACGGTGCCCGTGCCGCTGGAGTACTCTCTGGAGCTGAGCTTTAAGATACTGCCGCAGACCATGTCACAAATTTCGCTGCTCGCATTTCTGGGCCAATCCGGCTATCATGACGAGAAGAGCGATCATCTGGCCGTCAGCTTTATACAGGGCTATATAATGCTCACCTGGAATCTGGGCGCCGGACCACGTCGCATCTTCACACAGAAGCCCATAGATTTCCGACTGGATGCGCCGCGTGTGCCCTACGAGATCAAGGTGGGTCGCATCGGTCGCCAGGCCTGGCTCTCAGTCGATGGCAAGTTCAACATTACGGGCCGTTCGCCGGGCAGTGTCAGCCGCATGGACGTGCTGCCCATTCTGTACCTGGGCGGCCACGAGATCGCCAACTTCAACACGCTGCCGCACGATCTGCCGCTGCACTCGGGCTTCCAGGGCTGCATCTACGATGTGCAGCTCAAGGCCGGCCAAGTAACTGTGCCGCTGCAGGAGACACGCGGCGTTCGCGGTCGAGGTGTTGGACAATGCGGCACTCGGGAATGCCACAGGCACGCCTGCCAGCACGACGGAGCCTGTCTCCAGCATGGCGCCACCTTTACGTAAGTATTAAGACTTGAAGGATGTCAAACCCTTTGAACCATTAAACTCTTCCCCACGCACAGCTGCATTTGCCAGGAGGGCTGGTACGGTCCGCTCTGTGCACAGGCCACAAATCCTTGCGACTCCTTCAACAACAAATGCTACGAGGAGGCAACTTGCGTGCCGCTTGTCAACGGCTACGAATGCGACTGCCCGGTGGGACGCACGGGCAAGAACTGTGAGGAAGGTGGGCATAACTACGCTTATATACCATATCTGAAACTCTGACACATCTTGTTGATTTGATTGCTGTAGAAATACGTTCACTGAGCGACGTCTCACTGACGGGTCGGCGTTCGTATCTGGCCGTGCGTTGGCCTTACCTCTATGATGGCGGCGATAAGCTGGGCGCCAAGCGCTCCCAGATGGTCAGCTATCGCAACTTTACCAAGAAGCTGATGCCGCCCAAGCCCATCTCCACGCCCAGCACACACTTTGTAATGAAGCTGCTCAACGAGGTGGAGAAGCAGCGCAGCTTCTCTCCCGTGCCGCTGATGGGCTCCAAGACCTTCGAGGAGCATCATCGTGTCCAGTTTTTCTTCATAGAATTCCAGCTGCGTCCACTCTCCGAGCGTGGACTGCTTCTCTACTTTGGCACGCTCAATAACAATCAGGACAAGAAGATCGGATTCGTCTCGCTGTCGCTGCAGGGCGGTGTCGTCGAGTTCCGCATCTCTGGACCCAGCAACCATGTGACCGTCGTCCGAAGTGTGCGCATGCTGGCCATTGGTGAATGGCACAAGATCAAAATGGCGCAGCGCGGACGCTGGCTGACATTGTGGGTGGAGGGCAGCGCCTCGTCGGCGTTGGCGCCCTCCGCCGAGGTGCTTGTCGAGCCCGATTCCCTGCTCTTCATTGGCGGCCTGAAAGATGTCTCCAAGCTGCCGCACAATGCCATCTCCGGCTTCCCCATACCATTCCGTGGCTGTGTCCGGGGCCTCGTCGTCAGCGGCACTCGCATTGTCCTCAACGAAACGAATATCGTGGGTAAGCAACAAACGCACAAAATATGACACCAAATAATTAATGTGCCAACAAAACCAATTAATATTTACATACATATGTATATTATTCACCAATATAAAACACATTAATTTAAAATTCATGAAAACTTTGCAAGTTGAGAGTAAGAGAAGAACTTTTAAAATATGAAACTTTTAAGAAAACTTTTTAAAACTAAAAACGACCAAATTTGTTTGAAGTGGGGCATGATTTAATATTAAAATTAGTTCAAATTTTATGCGAAGAAGAAAAAGTTGCCATCGTGGACAGGTTAAAGACTTAATTTCCTGGTAGACACGTAGCCTAGGTATATTTAAGGAATTGCTAAGTTTGCTGAAACAGAAAAGATCTTCATACAAAACACATTTAAAGATTGTTCCTATTGAGATTTTGCTCAATGAGGTGCTATGAGGCATGTTTGAACTCGAGTTTGTCTGATTTGGTTAAAACAGCTTTAAAAAATAAAATGTTGTCATACAAGAACCCTATTATTTACCCGATTGAGTGGCCCAATCCGGCCGAATCCGACATCTGACTGCAAAAATAACACGGATCTAGGTAAACCTTAGTTTGGCTTTAATACTGGGACTCCAGTTTGCAAGGGAATAGACAGACAAACATGACTTTTTATATATGCCATATGTATGTACGTTGCGTTTACAAAATGATAAAACTCTCGGTAAATTAAAAATATGATAATATTGCAAAATTTGTGCAATATTAAATATTATGAAATTTGTCAAATGTCGGGGAAATACAAAAAACGATGATTATAAAGGAAAGTTATTGATATGAATGGGCAAATTAAATGATGCTAAGAACTTCCGAATGAATTTTAGTCCAGGCTACATTCTCAATTTTGCGTTTCAATTTTAAATTACCATGTGCATGAAAATAATAAGAAATTAATTTTTTTTTTTTGTTAATTCATTTGCGCAGAATCACGTAACATTCGCGATTGCGACGGCACCGCCTGCGGCGGGGATTCCTGTGAGTCGGGCGGCCACTGCTGGCTGGACGAGAAGCTGCAGCCGCACTGCATCTGTCCGGATTATGCGAGGGGCGATCGCTGCGAATACTCGGAGACCTGCAAGCTGATCCCGTGCAAGAACAATGGACGCTGCCTGCGCAGTGGCCGCTGCTCCTGTCCCAATGGCTGGGGCGGCTTCTACTGTGAGATTGGTGAGTAGAATCTGGGGTTCAATGGCCTCCAAATTGAAAGTTTTGGATGCGCTGCGAAAACATTTGCTCATAATTGCCAGCTCGTGTGACGAGTTGTTATTGCTTGACTTCAACTGGAGAGGAAGGTAGGAGCGGAGGGGCTTCGAGGGCAATTCGTCATCGAATTAGTCAAGCGACAGATGTTTAGTTAGTGCTTAATGTCCGTGACAGCAATAAAACAAAAAAACAAATAACAAAATAAAAAGCAACAACAGTAGCTGGGCAACAATGAAAGGCACAAATCATTTCACTTGAAAATCTGCAAAACGAGTTCCATAAATCTCCAGAGCCAAGTTGAAGTTCAATGTGTCAGCGAAGTAAAAGTTGGCTTTGTTTTGTTTATGTTTATAAATTTTTTTTTTATATAGAAATACAGTAGCCGAGTAAAGATCTTAAAACGTCAGAGAACTGATTTTATTTTGTCCAGAAATTGCTTTTATCTGTTGTTCTCGGTCGATCGCCCAAACAAGTTTTCATCTCGAATGCTAAAAGCAAACGACAAAAAAAAAAACAATCCAACACAACAAATTTTTTAATATAATTAGAGATCTACAACGAAAACCATTAACAGCTCCACGAATCTTACGGTTCGCTGCACATCGAGCTCTGGAAATTGAACTGGCAAAAAACTGCAAAAACCGAACAAAAACCGCTAAAATTAACCTAGTATATAATTATACATATATGTATATATATGCGTAATTTGCATGAGCCAAAGTTGAACGTTCTAAAATAATAGAATAGAAATATTAGAAATTCTAGCCAATGTTACAGGTCGCTGCATTCCCATAGAAACTGGATGAAAGGGAAAATAAGTTGAATATAATTCAAATATTTTCAACAACCTACTACAGATACTTATATTATAGCATTTTGAATATTTACGATCCACAACGTGCTTTAATTTTAACTATTATAAATAGTTACTCAACAGTTGAAACAACTAATAATTTTATACTTCAACTTCGGCCTTGTTCGTAGCAAGTTTTGTGCTACAAATTTGAGATATTAATTTTGCAGTTTTCAGTTGAAAGAAAATTAATTTCTGGATGTACTATCTTGAACTCCACTTCGAAGTGAAAACATGCTTACATTCTATCGAATAAAGAACCAAAAGCTGGAATCAATATTCTTGGAGCCGAAAATAAGCTTTCCTTCATTAAACCTTTGCCCTACATTATCCGTCCCAAAACAGTGGATATTGCAAAAAGCGTATCAATAAAATTTAAACAAAGATCCGAAGGTAAACAAAAAACCTTCAATTGACAGTTGCGGGTGGAACTTTCAAAATCGCTGAAACACGTATTCATTATATAGGAATTCCAAAATAATGTTGAAGCAGATAGGAAGAAACTAAAAATTCAACCACAAAAAATTGTTGAATTCCATTTTCCATCAAGAAAGCCTGGATCTTGCTAAAAGTGTAAAACATGTCTCAAATGAATTTTCATAAAGCTCCTCGGGTATGAATTTGAACCCGAAACTTTACCCACCAAATCTTTGACCCCGTATTTCCAAAGGGGGAAGGTTTTTCCGAAATCCACAATGAGTTTGAAGAAAGATATTTTTAAAATGAGTTTGAGGCCGATCGGATGGTAAACTACAATTATGCCATACTTGAGGATGGAATTTACCAAAACCTCGTCTTAAATCGCATCTTCATCATATAAGCTAATTACAGAACTACGGTGAAGACAGCTTGCTAACTTTTACGGTTTGGGCTGTGCGTTCAGTCAATCAGTCCGTCAGGACAAATAGTTTTTTATATAGAAATTTGTAGAAATACTTTTAGATGTGATTCATATAACTTATGAGCCAGCGCCATAGCTCTTGTCTGCTTAGTTCTGTTTTTAAAAAAGTTTAGTTTTGAAACAATATGATATTTTTGCGGTAAAGTAATTTTCTTGCATTATAAAGTTTATAAGATTAAGCTAAAGTAGATGGATTCAACCAATTAAACATTTCTCAATATGAATATACACATTTCTAGAATTGAAGCAATCACAAATTAATACAAATTAAAACGAGATCAGTTTCAAGATCAACTTTGAGTGCATAAGTTTGCAGCTCAGAAGTTTTTTATATAAATTTATTTTATGATTTTGTTGGTTTTGTGACCAGGCCAGTATTATACAATTGGCAGTTGGCAGCCTTTCACTTATTAGCAAAGTGAATTAACATGCCACTAATAACAATAAGCCATAAACAAGCTGGTGAAAACACGAAACAACAAGTGCAATCAAGTTGAGTGGCAGCCAAACGAAAGAAAACAAAACGCAGACTCAAATAAGAATACAATCCGAAAACGTGGCGAACACCGAGAAACAAGATGTTGTCGACAGATTGGAGAGAAGCAACCAAAGAAGCCCCAAACGAGATCAGGGACTGCCAACAGCAAATGGCATAATGAGCAGGCGGATCTGATGGTGATAATTACACAAAGAGAGCACAGCTAACACTTCAAATACCCTATGCAGAAACTAAGTATATGAGGTATTCACCGTTGCCTGCATTAAGTAAGCCTTGGCAACAAGAAAATGATTTATAATGAATCAAGTTCCTCTCTACTTTGTTCGAGCTGTTCTGGAAAATTCTTATTATTTTTTGGATATTTTTTTTAAATACCAAGAAAACGGTAAAATTCAAGATTAGAATTTCAAGTGTTTACAAATGTGCGTATAGGTAATATATGTAAAAGGAGGAAAAATACTTGTACTTGGACCTATCGAAGTTCTCTACTGATACTAATACATTTACTAAAATGTCTAACATTTTTTATAAATTGTGACAAAGTATTAAAAGCATAAGTAAAATTTCAACAATAAAATTTACACTATTTATATGTGAATTTTCTAGTTGGGACTCAGAGCTAGGAAATTTCTTGTACTCACCGCTGATCTACTTTGACAAACATTCTGGTTTAATGCTTTTTTTGGTAGTCATCAAGGACAGATATGTTAGAATAGAACGGGTCAAAAATAAATGGAGTTAGGCACAGTTTCTCAATATATAGTAAATTTGATCCTCAAGATTTAATTGAAATTTCTCTATATCTAGTTAGCGTTTGATTGTTAAATGTTTATCGAGCTTCGAATCCAACTTTGGTTAATTAATGCGGAATACCGGATTCACAAAACGAACCTTAAAGCGAGTTTTTGCTTGGAACCGAGTTCCGGACCACTTGAAGCGATTGCTGAGTTTGAAATCGATTCGATACATTTATATGAAGCCTAACCCATTTAAGTGGATATTGAAGGACTCCTTTATGGTGTTTCAAACTTTGTGACAAAACAAACATACTCTCTACTAGGGTATATTGATTATCATCAGTCTGTTGTTAATAATGAAGTTGATTGCGTTGCCGCACGCTGTTGCTGATGCTGTAATTTAATTATGCACTTGTATCACACACACACACACACACACATACACCAGCTGAGTTAGTACATGCAATATGTTTAATGCATTTTACTTAACATCCCCCACTCCACCCGTCTCTGTTGCAGCGTTGAGCAAGCCAACAACACCAAGCTTCCGCGGCAACAGTTACCTGATCTTGCCGCCCCCTCGCATTCCCATGAAAGACAAGCGCCGCGGCCCTTCGCTCTACGCGCGCCCGCGCGAAGCCATACAAATCTCACTGAACTTCTCGACCATCGAACCGGACGGCCTACTGCTCTGGAGCGAGCACGATCAGTTGAAATTCCTGGGTCTGGGACTGGAGAATGGCCACCTGAAGCTGGCCAACAATCTGCTGGGCAGCAATAATGACACCGTTCAGGCACCTGCGAGCGGCTTCGTAGCCGATGGCGCCTGGCACGGCATTAGTGTGCTCCTGGATCGCACACGCCTCGACCTGCAGCTGGATGGCGCAGTGATATTCACGGAGCGGCTGCCCGAGCTCAACCGACGAATGACAACAACCCCTACGTCATCGATTCAGCGTCGTGGGGGCAAGGAGCCAACGATTAGCTACGAGGATATTTTCTATTTAGGTAAGTGTGGGCACACTGTGCGTACATCAGCTTAGACAATTACACTGTGACGTTATAGGGCTAACATAGTATTTTACAATGCTTTACTACAAGCTCTGCATTTAATTCATTTATCGCATGCGTGTGACTCATCAATTAAATTAAGCGTGTGCAGACTTACCGTCTGGTAATTAATACATGTTGCTGCTAGTTTTTTCGTCTATCTTTGAATTCTCTCACTTGACTCGCAACGCGCGCTTTAACAAACCTCAGCTTAGTTGATTACTCGCATGGAACTGTAACGCCGGCCTGCGGTGACGACAGTGCAGATGTGCAATAGAAAGGCAGATACAATAAGACTGTATGCAAGAGCAAGATAGCTGCGAACTTTCGTAACTGCATGGGGGAGAACGCGAGTGCTAGTTTACACTACGAGCTTTTGGTTTGCGATACAATAAAACTTTACACTTTCAAAGTATACAATGCAAGCGCTTACAAATTATTAGCTCATGTCACTACCAAGAACATGACATTACCAAACACACACACAATGCACCACCGCGTAGAGAGCGCTTTAAACAATTACTAAGCCCGAGTTAATAGTGATGTGCAATGGCTCAAAACAATGTGTTATCGTTAAGCACATGTATCGATAAGAAAAAACATCGCATCAGCTTATCTGCTAAAATAATTATGTTAATGAACAGTATGCTGTTTAAAAGGTTATTGTACAGTATGCTGCCTAAAATTCGAGGAAAACAAGAAGAGGTTAAGAATTATAAGCACTAAAGACTGTTAAGCTACACACTGCATGCATAACTAACAGAGCTCTGTTGGCGCACAGCTGAGCTCAATACTCGCAAGGAGTTGGCAGCGCTGCGCATCGCCCGGCTTGTTTGTATACAAAATTAACTTTTTTTTTGTGATCCACAGGTGGTTTTCCCAATCAGGACTCGGTAAGCATGCGGACGCAAGGCCGCTTCTTTGAGCCATTTAAAGGCTGCCTGCAGGATATTCAATTCGGAGCGGAGCCAAAAGCCGTAATAAACGATTTCTCAACGTACCAAGGCGAAAATATTGGCTCTTGTGATTTGCACGGTGATGAGCCGATTATTTTATAAATCGACAGATGAATCAAAAAATACAAAAAGAAGTAATAACAAAAAAAAAGAAAATATTAAGAGAACAAATTGTGTAACCTAATATTCGTATATTATTATTGTGAATTACAATTGAATAATTGTGGTCGAAATTTCAAGTAAAACGGAAAACAAGAAACCCCAAAAGTTAGAACTAAGCTAAGTGTTAAGGGAGTTTATATTTGCAAAAACCTCCTTAATCAATTTTAAAGTATACAGATGGGGGATTGCTGCATGGAGGAAACGAAATGGAACATAATTTTGTAAATTTTATAAAAATAACTGACAAAAAGGAGACAAGAAAACGTTTAGATTAAAAATGAAGATCATTCAATGAAATGATTTTATAAATGTGGTTTATCAATAAATCGAAACAAAAACTATGAAACCCTTGAACAAAATTGTAGTTTAGGTTCTAAATCTAGCAAAATACCACATACTTCTCTTACATACATAAGTGATATTTATTGTGGAATAATGATAAACATTCAATGCATATGACAAATATAAAACACCCCCCCCCCCCCCACCCACTTGATTAAAAACATTCTAACTAATGTGTATATTGTTTTGTTGAGCCAACCTTTGTTATGCAAGTGTTATATACACATCCAGGTGTGTTTCTCTATACCTTATGTGTTCTGTATCAAATCGTCTCTATACTCTAAACTGCCCTTATAACAATTTCTGCCATTTTAATTTTGGTTTCGACTTATGAAAACAACTCGAGTTTAGTTAGGTTAACTATTGTTTTCCTGTTATTTCTCTACGTTATAATAGCCTAATGCTACTCAAATTGAAGCCATTTAGTTGCCTTGTAGTAAGTTAGTATATAACTCTCGCTATGATTTATTGTTTTTCAAAAACCTACTCAAAAACTTTGACTCTTCATACAAGAATATGAAAAATTATACAATACAACAAATATTATTCTTATAAACAGAAATCAAGTAGTAAAAAAAAAAAAATATATATATATACATATATACAATACTTTATTATACAATTAAATGCAAGAGTAACAAAAATGTAACCAAAACTACATTTAGTGTGTACTAATTATTTCGAGTTATAATTTCCAAATAAAAAATAGAATGAGTTAATAACAACCATATTTTTTTGATTCTCCGAGAGGTAAGTTTTTCTTGTTTGATTTTAGGAACATTCTGGCTCAGGCGCAGCCAACTTAACATGTTGAAATTTGACCGCCAAAATTCAAATTTCGAGTGAAATTCAAAAAGACGAAGCCAAGCAACTTTTTCCGTTTAAGTTGACTTTGAGGCATTGCTATGCGATCCAAAGCAATTGAAAAAACTCGGTTTTATCTCTTCTTTTTCGTCATGTTCATTTAATGTTGTTTCCTTTAAATTTGAGCTTTTTTTCCCCTTTTGACTCTGGTTTCGCTGTGCATATAGCGCCTTAGCTGTGCATATATGTACATTAGAAATTCGCAATATAGACGTTGAATAAACATTTGATAACGTACCCATTTCCGTGAAACAGATGTTGACATTCATGCCGTTCACCGAAGACGTTTCCAGGAATATCAAATTATGGTGTGTAGCATATTCTTCGGCTTCAAACTTTGTGACCTCACGTATTATGTCCATATCCGCCTTATTGCCAGCTAAAACAAGCACCAGCTCTCGCGAAATCTTAAAAAGTGTGGTGCAGTATCGCAATATATATTAGTAAGATTTCTATAAAAATCCACTCACAATTTGCTATTTCTGGACATACTTTTTCTCTGAGCTCTGTCACCCATGCCTGAGCATGTTCGTAGCTCTCGCGATTCTGAATATCGTATACAATGACAGCCCCATTACAACGATCATAATACGTGCGTAGCAAGTCCTTAAATCTATTTGATAATTAGATACCAAATGATCTATTTAAGTCTGAAGAACTTACCGTTCCTGACCGGAAGTATCCCAGATTTTCAGCCTGACGACCCCATCGACTAGGCAGACTCTTTTCACCTTGAATTCTGCGCCAATTGTTGCCATCGGCTGCGATATTGTCGGCGACGCATCTGATATGAAGCGCTGAAGTAGGGAGGATTTTCCCACGGCCGCATTACCCAACATCATAATCTGAAACTTGGCTTTCGGTCTGAAGGTTGACAATCGTTTCATGCTGCCAGGTCTGTACTTTCCGCTTCAATGTGTTCAACTAAACATCGTGGAAGAAAATCCATATATAGCTGAGGTATGAATCTCACAGAAGCCTATTCTCGGCTATGGTCATGGGCGTAGCGAGAGGGAGCAGATCGAACAGCTTCCCCCGCACTGATAAGAAAACTCCCAACAGCTGAGGCATGAATTTTAGAGGGGCCTTTACTCAGTTAGGGTCATGGGCGTAGCGAAGGGGACAGCTGTCAACAAGTTAAGATATCCTGGCTACGCCCATGGTTATGGTTCTGCGTGATTCAATGCGTTATCGACATAATTGAGTAAGGTCTGCCCTCTGAGGTTTGACGAAAACAATGACCTATATAGGGGTCCCGATTAAACATTTTCAGCTCGACAAAGTAAGTACATGCATATTTTCGTTTATCCGCAATGTCAGTGAAGTCGTATATTTTATCTTGAATAAATCATTTTTGATCAAAACCAAAAATTAAAAAACTTAACAAATAATTCTTGGAAAATCGAGGTAAAAAAACAGTTAAGTTAATCAAACTTTAAATCAAGGAGTTGGCTCGAACCTTGAATCGGATCAAATAATCATAGTCCGAATACCCACCGACATATGTATGTGATCGATAAGAAACTCTAGTTCTTTATAGTTGCAATAAAGTTCGTTGTATCTATAACTATAGCATTTAACTATTGAATATAATATGTTTTAATATAAAGGCGGCTAAACAAACAAATTCGTTGGTTCGTTTAATTTTTCAATAGAGCAATTTAATTAATACAAATTAAAATTTGTTAACCTTTTATACAACTTATCTATCGAAATTAGTTTATTTTTCCCATTCCCAAACCATCTTTTGAAAAAATATGACCAGCTAATCCATTTTGGAATTCCGGTTTATAGTATTCCACATCCGCAACATTCACCTGATCTTACGTTTAACGGCTCAGGACTTTTTCTAGCTTGAAGTTTTTCAGCTAAAACTCAAACAATTTTAAAACTTGTAGCTTTGAAAATTTGTAAATATTCTCACCGACTGCGGCAAAAATTTCATAAACATTTTGGCCCGTTTTGGCCGAGGTTTCCATGAATATATATCCCTTTCTTTGAGCATAGTATTTGACTTCGTCAGAAGGGACGCACAAATCGTCCCACAAATCCACCTTATTGGCGGCTATGGCAATAACCAGGTCCGGGGCTAGCTAAAGCACATATTGTTATTGATATTCCGAGAGTTTCAATATGATTTGTGAGTGTACAAACCTTTTTGATCCACTCCTTGGCGCAGACAAAACTATCCTGATCCTGCACATCGTAGACCACAAGCGCTGCCTGGGCACCCTTATAATACATATGCGCCAAACTATGCCAGCTGCCCGTAACTGAAGTATTTTAATCATTTCACTTGACTTGAAAGAAGTGTATACCAACCGTTCCTCGCCAGCCACTTCCCAGGTATCTAATTTCAAGGACTTGTCCAGGTAGATGCTGGAAAATGCGGCAACGAGCGTGTTTTCCTTAACATGCAGATAGCTGCCCTGGGTATAGTGGGAAACCAGGGATGACTTGCCCACCGTCGCAGCGCCCAAGATAACCAGCTTGTATCGCTTTATCAGCCAGTGCATGGTCTCCCTACGTCTAGTTGCCGCATCGCCCCTATTATGGCGCAATTGTACCTTTGCTCTTCTCATTTGTAGAGCTCGTTTGCGGACCAACCAATAGCAACTAAATTCACCTCGCGGACTGTATTAGCTAGGAAAGTGCATCCTCATTAAAGGTCTTTGTTCCTAAAATATCACAATCAAATTGCCGGATGACAAATCCTGAATCAGTACAGCTCCGACTCTCCATAGAACGAATGCCTAATCGCATTCCAAATGAGTGTGTTCTTAACATTTATATTTTTTTTAAGTTTATTAGATTAGAAAAACACAAGTAAGAGGTTCTAGTCCACCCTGAACCGTCTTCTTCCGACAGGAGATAGGTATATAATGAAAAATACTTGATATATATATACAATTCTAGAAGCTACATGGCAAGTTTGGTGATTTTAGCTCATATTATTTGCCAAAATTGCTCAAAAAACAGGATTTCGATATCGATTTTTATCGGTTACTTGGAAACGGGACAGGTTATCGAATATCGGAAACAAACTCGATCTGCGCGGGCACTAGGAGGACCTACAGCCAAAATTTCAAGTCTCTAGCTCTTATAGGTTCTGAGATCCTTGCGTTTATACATACGGACGGACGGACAGACAGAAGGACTTGGCTAGATCGACTCGGCTGTTGATGCTGATTAAGAATATATATATTCTTTATGGGGTCGGGGATGCTTCCTTCTGCCTGTTACATACATTTGCACAAATACATTATACCCTTTCTACCCATTTTTAATGGGTTCAGGATATAAAAAATACTTTGGGAGAGGCAAAGCTTTGTAAACCTGATGTCGATTGTTAGTAATTAAGCCGTTCTAAATCCGAACCCAAAGATTCGCTTTGTTTTTTTAATAAGAAAAACTATTTTATGTGAATTTTAGACTTTTCCTTTGAACGGGCATAGTTTTTTTTTTTTTTTATAGAGCGAGAACAGTTTAATTTTTAAAAAATATTGTTTTAGAAGAATGCTTAAGATGCACAAAATAATAAATATAAATAATTTCACGTGGAAAATATATGCTCTTCGAACTAACTCTTTATATATTTCCAAAGGGTATCAGATTTGAGTCCATGAACTGCAGCGGTTAATGGAATCAATTTTAAAATATTTACAATTTTAAAATATTTCCATAAAATGTTGTTTCGATTTTTATATATGTATATATATACGATTTTTATTATAAATGTTTTATTTAAATACATACATACAACATAAAAATTATAAATTGGAAAAATACACACAGCTTTTAGGCGTCGGTTCTTCTCACACGCTGATTCATAATTTTTTTTTTTTTTTTCATTTAATTGTTGTTTTTTTGTTGCTTTTGCTTGGTTGATCGCTGGTTGAGTTTTATAGTAAGTAGATAAAAAAAAATTCAAATACGATTTGTGGACAAAAGTAAACAAATGTGAACTTATGGTAAAGTATTTTGCAAGGTTTAATTTATGGTTTTCTCTTGTTGACAACTTCACTTTATCCGCTTAAACAACATCCTTTGTTTGCATACTATTTAAGATGTAAGCTTATGTGTTTACGATAATTAGTTTTAAAGTTAGGGATAGCATTAAATCTTTGATTGTTGCTAGAATGTGAAATTAACAAACAAACAAAAAGTAGCTAAACGTAAATGGAACCAAAAAATTTATAACTATGAATAATTTCTTTCATTTTTCTTTTTTCTTTACTTATTTTCATTCGCTTTTTGTTTTTTTTTTTTGGATTTTCATTTTTCATATGTGTATATATATATAATTTATATAAATTGCAACTATCACACGTGCCCATCGCAGCTTTTTGACAGCCGGATAGGCACACACATTGCCACAGATCGAGGACGAGCAAATCTTCAACTACTGATCTGATCTGAACTGAACCAAAAGTGAACTGATCTTCGGTTTTACTTATTTTTTTATTTTATTCTTTATTGGAACGCTGCTGAAAACGACTGCAACTGGAATTTCTCTGGCTTCGACACCCATATGGTTTCTCAAACATACATGAAATATTGAAACTTTATCAACTTTCTTAGAATCTTTCCTATGTTTCACTTTTTTATACAATTCAATTTGAAACGTTTCTACGATACGACGTGTACTCTTGAATTAATTAATCCGCTTCGTTAGGTTTACTTTTATTTTATTCAAAATGCGTTTTTTTTAGAAAAGTTTCGCATTTGCTTGAGATGAAATTGAAGGAGCTCTCTAAGTGGCGGTTATGAACTATGGGACCAGAGATAGAAATATTATAAGAGCGCAATTTGTTTTTTGTTTTTGTTTATGTTTCTGATACATTTTCGCTTGGTGTTAACGGGGCTATGTGTATTTATTTAAACTAACTTTTTGCTTTTACGTTTTGTTGTTTTTGTTTCCATTTAATTTAATTTATAATTAATATTATCTTTATGGTTTTGTTTTGTTTTTTTTTTTTCCTTTCATCATTATCATCATCATCAATTATGAAAATTAAATTGTTTGCCCCTATGAGCCGGCTTTAGTTTTTTAAATTTTAAATAATTTTTTATTTATAATTATCAGCATAAACTTTTCAAATCTCTCGTTGGAAATTTTATTTTCTGCAATGACAAAAAGCAACCAATTTAAAAAGAAATTATATACGATCCAATCAATTTCGCTGAAGGGCGCACACACACACACACACCTACAAAGGGACATCACTTGCAGCAGTTGTTCGTCGTTTGAGTTGGTTCGTTTCCATTTGGCTTTATAACAGATCCTTGATTGTTGTCGTTCTTGGGTAGTTTCTTGGCTGCAATTCAAAATAATTGATGTCGTTAAACATATTGATTTTATTCTGTCAGAGTTCATCACTTACCAATTGCCAAGAAAATATCATTGACATTCATGCCCGTCTTCGCAGAGGTTTCCATGAACAACAAGCCATTCTCCTCTGCATATTGCTTCGCCTCATCGAACTCCACAACGCGAATGTTCGACAAATCCGCCTTATTGCCAGCCAACGCAATGACAATGTTCGGTGAGGCCTGAAAAATATAATTGAAAACCATATTTATTTTTATTTATTAAATAAAAACTTGTAAATATTATATTTTAATTAATTATTAACATTATGAAAACGCAACAAGTTATGGACTTTAGTCTACGAAAAACCTTCGACGGGGCAAGACTTTAATAAATGTAATGAGGCGTATAAAATGCCGGAAATTATGAATGAGTTCAATGCTCGACGCAATGCTTCAGTTCATCAAATAAATAACATTAATAAACAAAACAATTTCAATTAGATTTATGAGAACATTCAGCACGTTCGCCGTGAGCCCCAAGTTAACCAAGCTGGAGCGCTGGGCTGAAGAATGGGATTGTTTACTCACTTGTTTATGCAGTTCCTTGACCCAGGTTTTTGCACGCTGAAAACTGTCCTGATTCTGTATGTCATAGACAACGATGGCGGCCTGCGCACCTCTATAATACATAGGAGCTAAGCTGTGATACCTGGAAAAGAAACATTAACATTAATGATATTGACATTAGGATTAACATTCCGATTAACATTAACATTATTCGTGACATTCGTCGCAACATTAATGTTATAATTAACTTGAACTTTAACGTATGCATTCTTCTTGCACTTACCGCTCCTGGCCGGCTGTATCCCAGATCTCAAACTTCACCACAGTATCCTCTATGCATATGGTTTGTGTCAGAAAAGCCGCACCTATCGTGCTCTCTTGATATTCATGGAACTGGCCCTTGACAAAGCGCAGCACCAACGACGATTTTCCCACTGCCGATTCACCGAGTAGCACCAATTTGAATTGGCAGCTTTTATTCTGAGAGGTTCCATTGGGACGCTGTGCGGCTCCGGAGCCGGACCCCCCGCTGCGTGGTGTTGTTGCCATTTTTGTGTTGTTGGTGTTGTTGTTGTTGCTGCTGCTGCTGTTCTAACTTACAAAAACGTTTGATGTGAGATTTGTTGATGAGTTGCGGACGGTCAAAAGCGATTCTCTTTTCTCAATCTCGCTGCCTCTCTAGCTCTGTCAGCGCCTGTGTCTGTGTATAATCTAAAGAAAAGAATGTATAATGCATGATTTGTAAGAATTCTGCGACTGCTGATAAAAACGCTTTCCACGTCATTGGCCCATCGGCCGCGCGGCGCCTATATTTGCATCAGCGATAATGGAAATTAATTAAACATGTCGTACACGCATAACATCCCATATCGTATATAACGTATTATCGTTGCGGTTACAGAGAGTGAGAGCATCTGAGAGTATCAAAGCAGAAACGCCCCATTAAAACTGCCGACGTACGAGTATATCAGAGGACATGAATTTCAAGCCAACGTTTCAAAAATAAAAATATAAAAAAGCGCCACATAGACAGATTAGTGTACAGATATGCATACATGACAGCAACGAGTTCGTTTTTTCTCTCAAATGGAGTTTTAAATAATATAGAATAAGAGTCTCTTTCTCCATAGGATCACGTACACAGCACACAAACGAGGAGCCTGCCTAAGCTCCAATCAGTGCAGACAAAAAAGCCTTAAGGGAGGAAGCTTTTCAAGCAAAAGCTCACTAATACAAGTGCACATAGAAATACACAAGCGTACGTATATTTTATTTTACTATAGAACCAGTTTTCACTCTCTTCAAGACCGGGACAAGGTCGGAATCTTATCGCACATAAAATGCTGGAACAAATCTATAAATTAATGCACATGTGTAGATATAGCGTACTTTTGAATAGCTTAAATCTACTATACGCTAATTGCGCGACTAGGTTCAAGGTCAAGAATGTGTGGTAAAGAAATGCTTGCGTGTCAGTGTCAGCGTCAAACACACACACACACACACACACCTAGTCATTTGCAAATTGTGATAATCACAACAACAACACAATCCACTAGCAACTAGGGGAACTACTAAAAATACTTCAAACACGCGCAACAAAAAGGCGAAACCTTAAAAATGTTTAGGCGCAATTATTGTTTTCTCGTGTGAATGTCTGTGCTTTGGAAGCAAACAAATAAAGGGTTTAACCGCTTTGTTTATCTGGTTAAATTTTACTTTTTGTGGAAGAAAACACAAACTCAGACAAATGTAAGCTATTATCAGTGGAAGGTCTATCTTATCTGCTTTACTCACATTATATATATATAGTCAAAAATTTGCTCGCTTTGGCTACTACAGAAATAATACTAAATTCTCGTAAATTAATGGACCATAAGCTCATAAAATATGGAATTTAGATATAATAATGACTAATGAGCATATTGTCAAATGTTTGCTAAAGTAACCGAGCACGAGATTTTCACTCTCAGTGGAGCATAGATTCCGCTTGTCTGCGTTGCCAACTGAACGAAGGGAAAGGGAATGCACACTGTGATAACGAGAACAACACCGGAGAAACCTTCACAGCATAGTTATAAATACATGTTGTAAATGAATCATTCTGCATGCCACGAAGAGTTCAATAAATGCCAAGCAACCCCAGCAAGAATGTTGCGGTTCAGGAATGCTGCGTTTTACGTTTAATCGATTCGTTACATTTGGACATATACGTATGTATGTTAACTCCCACGTAGAATACATTAACATTCACATTTTGCGCGTCAGCGTCTACACAATTAATTAACAGCACAATGATAAACTGAACAGAGAAATCTGTTGCCAGAGTGCCAGACAACAGCAACAGCTTTGGAAGAGAGCTTGAAAAACGGATCTCGCTGTGATGAGAACAAGCTGGAAGCGAATATGTACCAGAGGGTAGTTGCAGGCGCGGGTAGTGACGGGTGGACTAGGCGACAACAGAGCGCGATGAAAATCAATTCAAAATTAATTATACAGTTGACAGGCGCGAGCGTTTAGCAAGCTGGCAGGAAGCAGTGCAGAGAAAGTGAAACGCACCGCATATCGTTATTGTTGCATTATTAAATTAACGTGCCCCTCAAGAGCCAAAGCAACTTTACAACTATGCAGGCGACAGCAACGACGTCGACACAAGTCGCTGTAGAAAAAACTGCTGCATTAACATTTTGCGTTTTCTATTGTACGCCATTTGAGGTTTTGGCGCTTTGGAGCAAAGTGCACACACATACACAGAGAAGAAATAAGTTGTCAAGCACGACTTACACACACAAACTTATGTCAAATGCATGAACGTGAGTGTCGTTATTTTTTGCTCTCTCTCTCTCTCGGTTGGCACAAGTTAAAAAATTTCACTTTGTTATAACTTCGTTGCATTTTATCACAATTGTATTGAAGGCACATTATTCGAGTCGTTTTTGTCTCACACAGCTGCCAAATCGCTTTAGATTTAAATTAATCAAAATATCACATGACTTAAAAGAGCAAATATTGTAAATTAAATAAACAATATTGATAAATGCTTTAAGCAAATAAGAGCGGAAATTCCAACAGCTGGCGTCAAAATTCTGTTCAAAAACATTTAAATAACATTGAATATTATAAATTTTAAGATTTAGTTTCGATCGTACCACAAATAAAATAAAACCTGTACATTGACATCCGCAAACGAACGGAAAACAATAGCAGCGCGCGACCCTTTCGAGGAAAATTCAATAAAATATAAAACAACGGTACAGGAAATTACCGTAGGCAACACTCAAACAGCTGACGATGCGTCATTCACACAGAAAACCGAACGGCTGGCACACACACACAATACAAAGAGAGAACCATAGGCAAAGGGTAGGAGAGAGCGCTACTATCGCACACAATAAAACCAGAGCCATTTACTTAAAAAGAGTACAATCATTATTATTTTGAGATCGGTTTTAGGCAGTTCGTGAATCGAGCAAAACGTATTTATGCTGTTATTCTTATTATTATTATGTTTAAATATTCCTCTGATTATTGCCAACTCTTAGAACGCATCTATTTAAAAAAACAAGCATAGTGTCAGCAAAGTTCAACAAGTGTAACATAAACTTCTGTGCGTAATTATTTGAAATATGTTTAGAGCACCAGAAAATATACAAAAATTATAAATACTCTCAACATTAGTGAGTTTGCCTCAAACTGTCGACAGATTTTTGTCGAATTTCCACAGCGTCAGCTTTAATAAAAGCGCATAAAAAGGCGGATACATAAACAAAGAAAATAAAAAATAGCGATTTTGTTTACATTAAACAGGCTTCAGACTTTTGCTCTTGGCATGGTTGATACTTTAGAGGAGGGCGTCATGAAGCAGGGGCGTTGAAGCTGGCATAACGATAAGCGACGATTGTAGATAAATCCGCAGACACACACACACACACATACATACCCAATCGCAGAAAGAGCTCCATATTTAAAGACGCAAAAAGCGAAAGAACAAAGAATAAGGTAAACTGGCTAAGAGTAACAATGCTTTGCCGATTACTGATTACTAGTCTGGGCCTCTCACTGTCGCGCACCTGTAATTGTATTATTCACAGCTATATTGCCCTTCGGTTATCATGCAAAACAAGCGCGCACATTTATTGCGCTATTCGTTGCCACTGTGCGCTGCAGTTAAGCACCAACACAACTCGTGCTATCTTGCTTTGTCACACGCTTTCGCATGCAACGCACCCAATTTCAGGGCCAGCTATCGCGCTCGCTTACTCACTCTCGCTGAGCAGCAGTATTTCTGTGTGTGTTTTGTGGGGCGAATTGATTGCTGCTCGCGCTCTCTTTTTCTCCGCTCAGTGCCAGCTATCGATGACGATTGTAATGGTGGACATGAAAAATTTTACACAACTTTCTTAATTAATGGAAAAACAACAGCGCCCTTTGCATGCACTTGTCTGTTCTCTCTTATTGTTACGCACTTTAATTGTAGCTGTAATTTTTTGCACACTTTTCTGCTGCCACTCACTCTTTGTTTGTATTTGTCTGTGATTTACGATTTCTTATTTGCGTTTTTGAACGTAGCACAGCCACGGGAACTTGGAAACAAACGCACGCAGACAGAGATAGACAGCGACTGACTCTGTCCCCACGACTCTCAGCAATTTCAGGTCTTGTTTTTGTTAATTTTGTGGCGTTGCATTAATTCTCAGATGTGACTTGCAGTATTTCAGTTGCTGCTTTGTTTTTGGATGCAGTCCACAAATATTATTGCTTTTACCACTCTGTTTTTTTGCAAATATTGCCTTGATTATTGCTGAACTTGAATCCACTTACAATTTTTTTAGTGATGTAAGAAAACATCGGACAATCGGTGTTGGTTGCAACGATGTAGGCCGATGGTTACTCGATGTTTCATTGCCGGGAATTCCGATGTATACGAATCGATTTTTGCAAAAAAGATCGAATCAGTGCTACCTCTAGCCAAGCGAAAACTTTAGCGTTGTGAGGAAATACTTTTTTAATACCGAGAATCCCAAGCTAAGTGTTATAGCGGAAATGTCTTCTGTTGGACCCGAGACCTTGGTCTCTCCCGCGTTACGAAACAGGGTATACTAAGCGCTAAGCACAATGAGGCAATTACTGAAAGACTTCTAAAACTATAATTTTTAAGAGAACGTGAACCAAATCCAAAGGGCTGATCTTTATTTTTTATGTAAGGCTCTAAAGAGAAAGCTAAAACAACAAAAAACTTTTTAATTAGCACGTTTTTCTGACGAAACTGGCATGTTTGGGGAATTTTATATTATTATATTTGGCAAAATACAAATTTCATGACTTAATTATAAATCATATGTTCTTCTGTGTAAACTTGTCGATGTCAGAAACTAAAAAATAAGGGCTCGAAATTTGGAATAAATATGTATTTTTTTATGCCGTTTTCACATTTTTATATTAGTGGTACAAGTTTTTATCCTTTTTGTATATGTATATAATTCTTCTGCTCTTCTTGAATTTTTATTTTTCAGGAGCTATAGTTTTTCGTCAGATTCAGTCTGACACAATCCCTAACACCTGCAACAAGTGTAACGTACACCGAGCATCCACATTTAAAATCACTAGTTAATCGGTTATTAATTGAAAGTAACATCAGTGTCGACTATCGGCGGAGAATCGGTAAGTGTTGCATTCCGCATAAAGTGGCCGTCAATGGATACATTATATACTAACGATAAAATTGCGGACAACAAAAATCAACTCTACTCTTTTCTTCTTAATCTCAACCTTACATACTATCTAAAAGTAAATTTTTTTGTGAATAAATATGTCTCATGTGATCTACTTATTCTATTCTTACCTTCTCTAATCTAACCGACCAGCTATCGATGACAAGACCATCCTTTGACTTTACGTGGCGTGCAATCAATCAGTGTTATTTGGTTTTATGTCATCTATGACCAACTACGTCATTGCCGCAAGTTTTGTGCTTAAGTTGGTATTTTTGGTATTTCGGCTTATTTGGCCACATTATTGTATTGAGTATTTTGTGAATGGCAGTAAATGGTAATAACATTGCGAGAGGAGAAGTGAAAACGTCAATCGAGATTCTAAAAACGCAGGATTTGATTAAATAATTAAAGCTTTTCGGCAGATATTCGGGCCAATTACCGTGCAGACTCAATAAAAGTGAATTTTTCACTTAACAGACATAAACAGCATCCTGTTGCGAACCCCCCAGCACACACACACACACACACACGCAACCATTAATATTTGTGATCTATGCGCTGCGCCTCCTTTGCTCGTACACACAAACACACGAACACTCGCACACACACACATACACTGCGGTCGCCCCGTTCCGTCGCAGTTTTCACAGCTGCAACGCAAATTCGAAAAAGGAGTTTGCAAATTCGCGTCAAGTGTCCCGGAAAAGCGTAATCAAAGCGCACTGCACTGAATAATCGGATAAAAGGTGCGCAAATTATTGATTTTGCTTTAGCTTAAATTGTTATTACTGTTTCTCGGTTATTTTCTTCTCCTTCGATTTCAATTAATTACATTTGCCACAAGCTGTTGCATATACACAGCTGCGTATATTAGGAAAAATTGCATTTTTAAATCTGCACACAAATCCTGGGTTCGTTTGCACGTGGCGGTCTAGGCGTGCCCGTCGCATACACACGTACCTGCACCAGAATTTTCCCAAACGCGCCTGCCACACACAATTCCATATACGACATACAGACTCGGACAAAAGGAAACGCAACGAGAGCTTCTTTTGTTGATCTGACCACGATTATAAAACGATTATTTAGGCTGGAATTGTAATTTCACGTAGGTGAAAACTGTTGCTACGGACTGACTGATCAGAACAGTGGTCGTTCGCAAATTAAAACGCCTTAAATCTATTCAGAACTAAATAATGTTGTACCATTAATTTATATTTGTATAAATACTAAAAAATAAAATCACAACAAGACGACTTGAAATAATCAACAATTTTATATGAAACAATTTAAACTATATTTCAAAATATGGATTTCTTGTAATTTTCTTTGTCATGACTTTTAAGCGAATGCTTCCCTTAGAAATTGCTCGAGAGATTTAATACTAGAAAAATTTAAATTTGACATATTTGAAATTAAAATTGTTCTTTTTGTAAAATGACTCCTGAGTTTTTGAATATTTTAACTTCTGGATTCAAAGTTAGAGTACTCCGCAAAAATATGCGAACTAAATTTATGATAAATATATGCTTGGCATTTCTATGATATATGTGTTTGTTTTCTGATCCAAGCAAAACCTGAGAATAGATAAGAAACAGGAATAGATCTTTAAATTAAATAATCGCGTTTAATTAATTTTCATTGTTTAAAAACAATATTGTGTATGGAATTCATAAAAATTAATCTACAAATTTATAAAACACGATAATTAATTTTGTAAAACAGAAGTTCAACGGGGCATTAAAAGGTGCTGGCGAAGCGCAGCTTTCATTGTTTCGCTGTTAGTTCTTTTCTCTGCATGATTTTTATAATTTAATCACTTTACTCACAAGCTTATTCTCTATTTTTCTTTTGTGCAGATGGAACAGACGCAGCAGCCGCTTTTAACTAGGAGGCTAAAGAACTGAACTGCAGCTGGGTGAGCCTCTGCGGGCGGCCATGAAAAGCATGTTCCGTCCTATCAAAAAGATTTTCACGTACATACAGAAAAATGCCAGCAATGGGACAATGTTTGGCAGCACAACTAGCGTAAACGGCGACATTGAAGGCGTCAGCACCAGCAGCAGCGGCGGTGCAAGGTCGGAGCCGCCGAAGGAGTTGGTGTTGGAGCAGCAGCTGCAGGCGCTGGAGCAGGCGTCGGACCAGCAGCTCGATGATGATGACATTGAGCGTCAAATAAAAACCTCGATTATCGATGCATCCAAGGTGCATGCGGCCAAGACGAAAATTGTGCTGCCGCTTCAGCTGCAGCTAGACGATGAGCTGGCGGACTTTGCGCACGAGCCGGTGACACTGGCGGATGAGGATGACGATGACCTGGACGAACAGTTTTTGGAGCTAGAGAATTTTCCTAACAATGAGATTATTGTTCTGAGCGACAATGAGCTCAATTCATCGCTGGCCTCGGATAACGTATCCGAGGATCCACTGGCGATAGACGACTTTACGCAGCCGCTTCGACGCGAGGAGGACAACGAAGAGGAAGAGGAGGCGGCCGAGACTAGCGGTGATTTGCTGTGGCTCAAACTGGACACGCCATCCTCGGAGGCCACTGGCAGCAGTAGAAGCCTCATTGTGCCCACTCCAGGCTGCAGTAGCTCAGCGGTAGCTGCAGCCAAGCCGCCCACAAAGACCAAAGAGGAGGAGCTGCGTAGCGACGGTGGCTCCGATTCAGGATTGGGCAGTGAAAACGATAGACACAACACAATGGGAACAACAGCAACCACAACAACCACGAGCGTGCCGAAACCGCTGCGCTCGAATCTGAAGCGGCGCCTAGATGATGATGCCATGGAATTGGCTCTGGGGCCCGACTTGAGCAGCGGTGTCAGTTGCTGCTCCAGCACACAGAAACGCTCGAAGCGTTGTATTAACTTTGACAGCGTTAAGGTCTACTACTTTCCCAGGCAGCAGGGTTTCAGCTGTGTGCCTACCGCTGGCGGCTGTACGCTGGGCATGGGCGCCAGGCATATTGCTTTCAAGACCATGACGCTGGCCGAGCATGCGGCGGAGCTGAGGCGAGCGCATCGCAACCAAAATCAGGAGCAGCAACAGCTGCAAGTGCGTGGCTCCAGCAGCGATGACAGCGAGGAATCCGAAGAGGATTACCTGAGCGAGGGCAGCGGCTCCGATGCGGACGATGGCTCCAATGGCTTCCTGCAGCCGGTGACACCCAAGCAGCGGCGTGCCCTGCTGAAAGCCGCCGGTGTGCGTAAGATCGATGCCAACGAGAAGATCGACTGCCGGGACATACGCAATTCCCGCGAGGTGTGCGGCTGCTCGTGTCGCGAGTTCTGCGACCCGGAGACGTGCGCCTGCAGCCAGGCGGGCATCAAGTGCCAAGTTGATCGCGCCATGTTCCCCTGCGGCTGCACGCGCGAGGCCTGCGGCAACACTGTCGGCCGCGTCGAGTTCAATCCGACGCGCGTGCGCACGCATTACATACACACCGTCATGCGGCTGGACATGGAGCAGCGCCAGAGCCAGGGACCGCCGACCGCGAATGGTGGCAATGGTGGCTTGGTCTATGGCAGCAGCGCCTCTGGCAGCAGCAGCCCTGGCGTCACAGCTGTTGCCGCTGCCGCCGCCGCCGCCTCACACTGCTTCTTCATGCAGCCGCAGTCCAACTACAGCTCCGGCTATGCCTCGCCAGCGTACACGCCCGAGACGAGCGTCAGCTACTACCAGCAACAACAGACTCCACAGTCGACTGCTTCCCCCGGCTCGAACAGTGGCACGGCGCAGCAGTCTAACTATGCCGCCAGCTATCCGCAGCTGGACAGCCTCGACTCGGGCCTCTTTGCCAGCGGTAGCAATGCCACGCCCTCGTACGGTGAGCTGCTAACGCCCACCTTTCATCAGACTCTCAGCTATGGTAGCGCCCAGGTAAGTGTAACCCGGAATTAAAGTGCCTCAGATATAAAAATGGGGACAAGAATTCGCCCTGTTTTTGCCACTGTAAAATCTTTATAAAATCGTATTATTGCTCTTTGAAGAAATGTGGCTTTTATTTAATTTAAAGGCGAAGGTTTGAGAAAGCAAATCAGAACACCTGCAGAGATGCCCTCTTCTTTTGTAAATGCTTGCCTACTTTTCTCGCCTCTCTAATCTAATTTAAAACATTTCTATTTAACGATAGCCTAAAGAAACTTTCTCTAAAAATAGCTATCAACTGATGGGCTTTTGTTGCAGTTGTACTGTAGAAATAGAAAATAATGGTCAGCTTGGAAAGAGAATTAATATATTGGACTTGGACTTACTGAAGGTCACCTATAGGGCTACGATAGGGTACAGGCGATTTCTGACTTTCAAGCTTTGATGAAGCTAAGTTTCCCCAATGCTTCAAGATTGATATCCATGTCTGCAAAGCGCACGAATCGTATAAGACATATTCTCATATTACTCTTGATCGTAAAATTTGTTTGCATTCTCGAAATTAATTTAAATTTCTTTTACTGCCGACAGTGGGCCTTAAGACCCTTAGTACAACTTGTTGTCCCGAATCTGATGATCTCCTTCAAGGATTAGGTCTTAGGTCCCACGCGAATCGCTAAGCAGAACAAGTTTTTTACAATGTGCATAGCTAATTATGCTGCTAGAGACATCAGACATCAGCTCCCCATCTATAGAAAATGATTAGACTTTATTAAATTTGTGTGCTTTGTGTGTCTTTTCAGCTAAATCCCTACACCGCCTATCAACAGACGACCACTTCATCCGGCGGCATTGCGTCACCCGGCGCGTTCAGTTCGTGTGCTGTGCCGTCTGTGCCGCCGTTTGGCAATGCCACCACCACCGCCTCGAATGCTACGCAATATCAGCACGCGAATGCGTTAGAAACTACCGCCGCATCCCTGAATACCAACAGCAGCATATCCATAACGGCCAGCAGCTGCGCCACGGGCCTGGCACGGCTCGGCAGCGGCAGTGGCCCGGTCGACTTTATTAGCCTGAATGCGCCCATTGGCAGTTCGTCGCGCATCTCGCAGATCAATGATCTATTGCAGCATAATCGTAATACCACCGTCGCTTTGGTGGCCGTTTCCGAGAGCTATACCTCTGTGCGCAACAGCAGCAGCAGCAGCAGCAATAGTAGCAGCAGCGGCGCCACAAACCCCACCAGCACCATCGATTCAATTGACACGCCGCCCATTGTGGAGGAGACGCAGCGTAGCTGCATGACGTTCGAGGAGCTGCCGCCGCCGCTCATCAATCCGACGCCCATTGTGGCCGTTGTTGAGCAGCAGCAGAACAAACAAATACTAAGCGTGTCCACAACGCCGCAGCCGCGCCAGCCACTGGATGCCAGCGCCAGCGTAGCCGAGTCTTTGTCAAGCAGCAGCAACTGAAGCGACGGCCTCCGGCATAGTTTTTATAGCAATTTTACACAGCAGAAGACTTAATATTGTTTAAGTGGCAGCGATGGAATCAAAATCCATGTCGAGGATCTATCATTTGTTTCTGGCCAGGCACAGCCGTGTGCCGGTCGCCTCGTCATTTCGGACGTACCCTACTTCAGTGGCGGCAGGCGTCCATATATATATGTGCATATATGTTAAATGCATGCTCGCCTTGTATAAATCAGTTTTAATTGTTGTAATTCTAATTAGTCTTAAGTACACATTGTAATTTAGTCACTTCGTTGATTAGCTTTGGATCTTATATTTTTCTCAACAATATATCAACTAATATATTTACTTTGGCAATTATGTATTCCAATTGAGAAAATCACCTGCTACTTCCCCCCCTTCACGTCTAGCGTTGTTTCAACGAATTTAATCCAGCTGAGCCTTGAACAATTCATGAAAAAATTGATTAACTACTAATTAATTTCAAATATAATTTTTTGTTAAATCAGATTTAGTTATCAACTAATTTATTGTGTTGCATTTACTTTATTTAAAAATGTCGTAAATTAATTTTAATATTGTCGCTTTCCTTGCTTTTTTTTTGATGATTTCCTATTATTTTCCTGTTGCTTATGCTGTCTGCGTTAAGTATTCATTTAGTTCTTAAGTTCTTGATTTGACCTTAGCAGATTAGCATTAATGAACCAATAACGGCAGCAACAAAAAACAACAAATATATATTAGACATGAATTAGTAATATTTATGTATATGCAACGTAATAACAGCTATAAAAAAATAAATAAATAAAACAAGAAAAAAAAAAAACAACGTAAAATGAACTTAACAAAAGTAAAAAGTAAATGCAATTATTTAAATAAATATTGAATACAAAATATAAACACTTATATTTTTTTTCATTAATTTTTTATCTTCACGTCTTGACGTCATTAGCTGTGGAATATTAATTATATATTATGCATTTAATATTCTTATATCTGTTAAATAGCTAAAAAATATGAATGTGGAACACACATCGTGGAAATCGGATGAGATTTGACCGAGTTATGGGGCTGGGAAAATTTGACCTATGTCCATATAGGATAATAGAGGGTGGTGCCCGTGGTACGTTTAAAATAAATTCTCTCAAAGATCTTTGATAATTAGTTTTAAGCCGATTCCGCCAATTTTCCACTGTTGCGGGTGAAATTTCCCAAATCGCTGCAACACGTATTCATTAAGTTCTTATGTTGAGCTTTGAAAATAAGTTTGAAGCAAATCGTAAAAAACTTAAAGCCTAGCTTTGATTTTGCGAAAAATGTAAAAGACGTCTCAAATGATATTTCATATAGATCGTTGGAAATGAACGTCACTCACCAAATCTTTGACCCCCATTTCCACCCTGGAGATATACATTTTTTGAAAAGTGTGAGGCACCTCCCAAATGAATTTGAACAAAGATCTTTGGAATTGAGATCGGATGGTAAACAAAAAAGTTTCATACAAACGTTTTTTCGCGATTTTTCCACACATGCGAGTGGAATTTACCGAATCACTGTCTACAGTGGAAACAAGCCGGGCTCAGAATAACAAAGAAAAATTTGGCCCGGCAACAAGAATAAATAAATAAATATAAATATTTTGTATTCAATATAAGCTTGAGACTTGTTAAAGATCAACGAAAAAAGAGAGTCACATACATATATAATTGTTGTATATAATTTGTTGTTGGTTAACAGGAATTGTTCTATGACTATATAAAACAATAGACTATACTTAATCTCTCTACACCTCCCTGCCGAGCACATCGTCGTAGCTGACGCCAATTTGTCGGCGTATCTGATCGGTTAAAGCAATCAGCTCCAAGCTGGCAGCATGCGTGTACTTGGGGCTCTCCAGGAGGCGTTTCTCAATGCATTTGCGGACCTCCTCCGCTTCGTAGCGCAGGCCACAGGAGTTGGTATAGTGGAAATCAAACTTGGCGCTGGGCAGTGGCCAGGACTCCGGCGGATTGTTGGATTGTGTCAGCTGAGTGCAACACCAATAGTTGGAGAGCTTAAGAATGAAAATTGCTGATTAGCTGATAAGCTCCGGGTTCGGGTGCAATAGGTTGACAATGCGATGCGATAAGCTCACCTTAATCTCGCCCTTCGTGCCCACGATTATCGCATCGTTGCCCAGATTCTCCAGACCCGTAATGAGTGCCATCAGTCGACGGTTTTCTCCGTAGTCTAGAATCAATTCGGTTTGCACATCGACGCGTTCGGCATTCAGCTGAGTGCCGCTGGGGATGATCCTCACGGGCGCCGTGCCAAAGACAAACTGGCCCAGCTGCAGGGCGTAGATGCCAATGTCCAGGGTGATCGAGCCGCCCAGCGAGCGGCTGGCGATGCGCTCCACGTTGGCCAAGCGGAAGCCGTGCTGCAGCCTGATCAACTTCACCTCGCCAATGCAACTGCTGAGCAGCAGCTCACGCAGGCGATCGTAGCTCGGAAAGAAGCGACTCCACATGCCTGCAAGCAATCCAATGCAATCCAATTGCATTACCAATTGCAATCCTTCCCCGCCCTCACCCACTCACCTTCCATGAGAAACAGGCCACGCTGCTCGGCCAAGGCGTAGAGCTCCCGAGCCTGTGGCAGGCCCAGGCACAGGGGCGTCTCGCAGAGCACATGCTTGCCCCGCGACAGCATGAGCCGCACCACGGCATAGTGGAAGGGATTCAGCGTGCCCACATATACCACATCGACATCCCGGTCCAGGGAGAGATCCTCGAAGCCATCATAGTGTCGGGCTATTTGATTGCGCTGCGCAAATTCCTGGGCACGAGCGCCCTCCACATCCGCGACGGCCTGCACCACGTGCCGGGAGTTCTCGATGGTGCCCAGCGCCGTGACAAAGTCTTGGGTGATGCGTCCAGCTGCTGCGATGCCCCAGTTCAGATTTTGGCTCTGCATTCTGTGATCTGTGCAATTCTGTGCTGTCGACTCGCAATTGTTGGCGCAACTGTCGGAGCGCATCCGGCGCTCGGTGCGCCAAGTGCGCCTCTTATCAGGCCCTGGCATCTGCATTCACTGCATATTTCATTACGCTCCCAACTGATAACAAAGTAACACGGGCAGAGCTTTCTATAATACGTATCGACTATCAGCCCAAGTTGCGTTCCATTTTATTCAGCGTCAGGTTAATTTGTTGATCGAAAACCTTGGGCATAATGTCATCTGGGTCCGTATACTAAAAGTAAAGTAAGGTAAGCCTCTGAAAATTGAATTTCGCTTTATTAACATATTTAGTCAGAGCTGTTTAAATGCTCGGCATGGGTAGGGTATTGATAATATAATGCCTTGAAAGTAGCTAATACTAAAAGTAAGTTTTTTAATAATTATTACATTACATTAGTTTTACACATCCTTATATTTTCTTTTTTGTAACTGCTTACAGCTTTGATGACAAAAACATTTAAATAATTTTCCATTACTTCGAGTATTTTATATTTGTATTTTAAAGTGAAGAAAACCCTTTCGTCTTCTATAACTCTGGTCACCTGTCTTGCAAATACATATCAGTTCGAAGACCCGCCCCTTTTTTTAGAAGGGATTAAAAGTCGCCCATCTAAACAGCTCAAAATAACTTTATGTAAACGTACATTAAAGGTTGTTAGGAAACCAAACATAAGGGCAACAAGGGAGATTTTTAATCGTCCTGTAGCCGTCCTTTTGTGGCCGTGCTATAGTTGGTAAAGTCAGCAAATAATGCTTTACCGAAATCAGATCCAAACCGACTTTGCTTCCAAGTATAAATTTTAAATAACACAAGTAAGAGTCAGCACTCTCCGAATATAAAATTCTCGGAGTTCCGCGTGGAACTGTCATCTCCAAAGCTCAAGATCTAAAAACATACATAAATCGGCAATATAAAGACGCAATCCTTTTTCTAATAGTCAAAAGCCATGGGAATTGCTTTCATTAATCTCTTCCGTGTTTATTGCCCCATCTTGATGAACTTGGGTCAAGGCCTCCAAAACCCTATAAATGTGGTTTCTCAATTTTGCGGTGAAGCGGGAGGTATCAAAAATTTAAAAATTCAAAAATAAGTGTGTCTAGCTCTTTAAGTTATATCGACAAAATATGAGAAACATGTTTTGCGTAAGATATATGAGAAAACATAGCTTTCATATAGACAGAGGACATGGCTTAATTGACACGCCTCTTTCTGCCTGTTTCATCCATTTGTTTAAACTTGAATATACCCATCTTTGCCGGTTTTCAATGGGTAAATACAAAAATTAAAAATTGATAAGCGCTATTGGGATTGAACCGCCGAGCTCCCACTTCCCAGTTCGACGCTCAGACACCGGAGCCAAAGAAGCTCACGACGTAAAGTTTGCAAAACATAATTATATAGCTTTCTTTCTTATGAAGTTCTGACCACAGTTTTTCCCAATTTGCAGGTGAAATTATTCCAAAAGGAAGTTTCAGTAAATTTCTAAGCTTCGGTGAGTTGACACCGTTCAGTCGTTCAACCAGCCAAGACAAACTCTTGTATATACCTGTAGAACAGGTATCAATTTTCATGATCCTAACTCATACTAACTAAGTGGTTTAGAGCCGTCAAACGAAAACTATTTTATTTGTAATATGAACAAAATTTCTTCTCGTTATCTCTATATATAAAACTGTTTGTCCTGACTGACTGACTGACTGACTGACTGACTGACTGACTGACTGATTGATTGGTGATCAACGCACAGCCCAAACCGTAAGAGCTAGGAAGCTGAAATTTTCACTGTAGCTACCTTATGTGATGTAGGTGCACGTTAAGACGGGGTTTCGGGAAATTCTACCCGCAAGTGTGGAAAAATCGCGAAAAACGTTTGTGTGTAACTTTTTTGTTTACCATCCGATCGGCCTCAAATTTATTTTCAAAGGTCTTTGTTCAAATTTATTTGAGGGGTGTTTCGCACTTTTTGGAAAATGCATTCCTCCTTTTGCTTCAAACTTATTTTCAAAACTCTACATAAGAACTTAATAAATACGTATTTCAGCGATTTGGGAAATTCCACCCGTAATAGTGGTAAATTGGCGGAAAACGGTTGTATGAAAGTTTTTTGTTTACCATCCGATCGGCCTTAAACTTATTTTCAAAGATCTTTGTTCAAATTCATTTAAGGGGTGTTTCAGACTTTTCGAAAAATACGTTCCTCCTTGGTGGAAATGGAGGTCAAAGATTTGGTGGATGACGTTTTGTGTTCAAATTTATTTCCAAAGATCTATAAGAAAAATCATTTGAGACGTGTTTCACATTTTTCGCAAAATCTAAACTCCTTCGGTGGAAAATGCATTTCAAAGTTTTTTTTTGTGAATTTTAAGTTTGTTTGATTCCCGTCCGATCAGTTTCAAAATCATTTTCAAAGCTTTTTGAAAACATTGATTTTATAACATACGTGCCACGGGCAAGGCCGGGTTATACCCGCTAGTACTATAGAAATAGTTACAATATAATAATTACAATAGCTACAAACCAAACATTTTTATCTAAGAACTTGGTCATTTAGGGAACTGAACAACAATGATCTGGCTTTGATTTCCACGATAATGGAAGAAGCGTAATATTAGACGAGGGTCATGGTAGTATATATGTATAAATCTATGTAACAAAGAATATAGATTGCGAATACATAAACTGTGATTAAACTGACAATTGATTTACTATAGCTTGACCTGAACAAAATCACGATTTCCCGGCAAAAACCAACTTGTAGCTAAAATTTGCGATTGTGCAACCCAAATGCTGATTGTACAAACTGCAAACTTCCCATGAAGATTAGATAAGGCTTTTAAATAAATTTAGATAGAGTATAGATTATAATTGCGTACATAAAAAGTTAAAATCGTTTTTTCCAGTTATTAATACATTTGTATATTATATGTTTGCAAATTCGCTCTATTCCTCATCATATTTATTTAGCACACCGATCTGTTTCCTAATCGTGTCCTCGATCTGGGCAAACAGCAAGCTGTCCGCATATGTGACATTCTTGTTCTCCACCTCGCCAGCGAGTATGGATTGACGCACTGCCTCCGCCTCGTAGCGCATGCCCTCCGAGTTGCCATAGTTGGTCGCGTACTTGCCCTTGGGCGGCAGCCACTCCTTCTCCTTGCCATCGATGTCAATCAGTTTGTTAGGCGACCAAAAGTCAATCAACTGAAATGCGAAAATATTTGAGACTTAAATCGAATGGAACTTATGATATGCAGATTAAGGTAAGGAGAATCGAATAGGTTTGCTGTGGAGCAAGCCGGTTCGAGTCCGGAATGAACATTTATTTTCACTGGAAGCAAACCTGGTTCGGTTGCCCGGTCGCCTACAACATAGCTGAACCAAATTCCAATAGAGAGTTGCATGGAAAAATGAATAGATTTTGAGGAATTTTGGATAGAAATGAAATTCAGCTCGGATCGTGTATTGCTTGGAATATCATCTCTAGAATAGGAAATTATAAATTAAAAACGAAATATGTAATTAATTTTGAAAATATATAAGACAGCTTGACGGACTCGAACCCCCGACCAATTCTTTTGGGTTGGCAGCCCTGGTAAAGCTCTGCTGATAAGTTCGGGTTCTTGAAATAGATTTTGTGTCGTCACGAAAACACTCGACTTTGAGCACATGCCGGCAACGTGAACGTTTATCAACAATATTTTGCCTGCGAATGTGCTGAATCATATTGGACGTTATTGACATACCGTTACTTGTCCTTTGGTGCCCTTGATGACGGCCTTATTATCCAATTGCTCCTTGCCAGAGACTCGCATGCGTGCAGTACGTCCGCCGCTGTAGGTGAGCGTGGCGCTGACATCATCATCCACGCCCTCGGCATTGGTCTGGCCGGTTGATTCGATTTTCAGCGGTGGCTCCTGGAATGCCCACTGCGATACTTGGATAGTATAAATGCCCAGATCGTAGACGACTCCGCCGCCCAACTCCCGTTTTCTGCAAGAAACAGATTAGATTTTGTGGCTAGCTGCGAATCGCCCAGCTAAGACTTACTGCAGCCGATCGACATTGGACAGGGGAAAACCAAAGTTGACCTCCACTTCTTTGATCTCGCCTAGGGCGCCAGTCTGGATGAGCTGGCGCACATGTTCATAGGAGGGAAAGAAGCGTGACCAGACGGCCTCCATGAAGAAACGTTTATTTGCCTTGGCGGCAGCCAGTATGCCCTCCACCTGTTTCTTGTTCATTGCCAGCGGCTTCTCGCAGAGCACATGCTTGCCATGGTTCAGCATCAGCAAGGAAACCTCATAGTGCTGCGGATTTAGCACGCCGATATAGACCACATCTGTATGAGGAGGAGTCGGTGAAGAATAGGGCCCACTTGGCAAATGTCAGGCAGGCAGGACACTTACCCACATCTTTGCTCTTCGCCAGCTCCTCGTAGCTGCCATAGGCATTGGGTATCTCGTGCTTCTTGGCAAACTCTGCGGCCCGATCTTGGGCGCGTGCTGCCACAGCGACCACCTTGTGATCGGTGGCCGGCAGCGTGCTCAATGCAATAACGAAGTCCTCGCTAATTTTGCCAGCGGACGCGATGCCCCAGCGGATGAGTTTGCCCGACGACATGTTCTACGTTTCGATAATGCCCTGTGAATGAGTTGATGGCGGGACGTGTTGTTAGTTAAATATGAAAACGTTGGTGCCGGTAACACATCTGGGTCGTGCTATCAGCAGTGGGACAAGGCAAGAAAACGTACAGAGCGAAAGGGACAGAGAAACTTTCCGATAAGGTTCGATGGTCTGCACTTCAATATTTATCTTGATGCCCTTTGCAGAGGGTATAAAACCCTTTCTTGAACAACTCCAAGTTTTTATACACTCTGCCTTTTGGTCGTAGTTCTAAAATAAAATATCATAAAAAAGTTAATCGAGGATCTATTTTATAAAATAAACAAACAAAAAAACAATTTAAATACCACAAGCCAATCTCTCGTTGCTTATGCTTGATCGAAATGTTGGGATTTCACAATGTTATTAAATTAATATCATTGGACTTTTTATGACAATATAAGTGGCTAATTTATGGCCAATTCGTGAGATTTGTTCTCTTATCACATTAATTAGTATTTTCCCTTATATATATACATACATGTGTGCAGATGTCCACAATTATTATTCTGTTAGTGGAGACGTATTAAATACATATGTATATACTATGTGGATTAACATTAAAAACTGTGTGCAGCAGGCGAGCTTTTAATATACATTTTTGTTTACAAATGCAACAGGTGCAGCCGTAATCGTATTATTTATTTCTAAGGTGCATTTAGATATGTTTTCGCCTAAAATAGTTTAAATTCTTTAATTTACTATACCGGCTAGTTTTACAAATATATGTATGTACATACATATATATTAACATGCTTTTTCTACTGACAATTATACCTTAAAATAATTGCAGCATGTTTACGATAGCTTACCACACACTCACAGCGTTAGAACTATTTTTATAACTAAAAACTTTCCGCTGTGTTCTGTAGTGCGACACATCGACAACAGTCAACAGTTTGCTTTAACAGTAGCATAACAGAAGTGACAATACACATATACATAAACATTGTTAAACACTATTATTAAAAGAAAATATAATTTGTTGTCATGCCATTCTATCATTTCGGTTTGGGTAAATAATGTTTGTTATTTTATTTTACAAAACTTGATTTTTGCCGAGCTCAAGTTAGCAATAAATAACGCAATTTGAAAAAAGCGCCATTGCAAGCTTGTCATTCCCATGTAAGCGTTGCGCCGAACTTGACGAAAGTGGGCATCCATGGCTACACTTACTTAACGATCTGACTGAATTAAAGCAGCCCTGGCATTGATACTGTGCGCGTTGCAAGTAAATTTTTGACTGCCTTGTTTTCTTAAATATTCTGCCATCTGTGCGACCAAAAAGCATCTTTGCTGTGCAGCAATTCGCATTGCACATCGCTACACGGCTGGTCTGAACGCTACGCTGTGCTGAAACGCGATTGTTAACATGTCCGAACGCTCCAAAGGTGACGTGTCGCGCGTTAACAACAATGCAAATCGAGTTGTTAAAAATCCGCTACTCAGCGCCTCCGTGACGGGACTCACCTTTGATGACTTTCCTAACAAGCCGGTCCTGCTACCAGCCGCCCCGCCTGTGGTGCATGCACCGCCACCGCAGCCCACGTCCGCCCTCATCGCTGGCATTCTCAATCGCGGTAAGTGTGTCAGCCACGAGAGAGCAGAGATTGAATTAGAGGGAGCGACAGAGACAGAGAAAGAGAAATAGAGTAGCGAGTGGGCCGCAGTTCAGTTGTAAATTGTCACTTGTTGCTTTTTCTTTTGGCTGATAAGCGTTAACAGTTTTCTGGTATTTTTATTGGGCAATTCTTAAAGTTCGTCTTTATAGTTGTATTTTTGGCAAAAACAATTCCTAATCTATTCCATGCTGCGCGTCGAGTGCGAGCGATAGGTGGGCAGCTCCAGCGACACCTTGCGCCGCTTGCAGCACCAGACAATACTCCAAATCAGGAGCACAATCAGCAGCAGCAGCAGAATGGCGCCCAGACAAATGGCAGCTATAGCTGCCTCGGTCAACACCACGTCCCGAACGTCAATGTTAACGCTGCGCTGATTGCCTGCGGCATCGTAGGCCGTTATGGCCACCTTCGGCTCGCAGCATGATGCCATGTAGGTGGCTTTCAGTGGCTCCGTTGTGCCCGCTGTGTAGTAGTTGCGATAGAATAGACCCTCCGCTGGCGTCGTCTGCAGACGCAGCATGCCCGACTGCCAGTCCTGTGCGGTGACGTCCAGTGTCCAGAAACGATCGCCACAGCTCTGTTCATCGCTGGCCACATAATCGCAGCGATTACCAAACTCCCAGGAAAGATTTGGTCCCGACGTATCCTAAACGGATCAGCATGTTATCAGTGTATTGGGAAGGAGATTATAAGTTTGCAATACGAACCTGTGCATCAATGCTGGACACGACTTTAAGGCTAACCGCCAAAGTAGCCGTCTCGCTTCCATAGCTGGTAAAAGTGATTCTATCGGTGGTGCCCGACGCTGTGCCAGCCGGCACCAGCACGGTCAGACGCACGGTGCTTGTTTCCCGTGCACGCAAATAGAAGCTGCAAACAGTGAAGAGTTTGAATACAAATTTGGGCAGCAGCAATTTGCTTGCGGACTCACCCCGTTGGGCTGAGCTGCACGAGATAGCGGCGCTCGTCCGTCACCTGGACGGTCTGATAGACGCGCTCTGCCCGCATATTTGTCACCTCGAAGAGCAGCGTGGAGACTTGACCGGCATTGACCAAGAGCCTCGATTGTGTGCTGAGTTCTATTTTGGTGCCGCAGCGCTGCAGCAGCATAGCATTCAGACTGGCTCGCTGCGGCTCACCCGTGGCGGCGGCAAATTGGGTTTGATTGAGGCTCGTCGTTGGCTGCACCAGTTCTGTTTCCGAGAAGGTTTCCACTTCGCTTTTGGGCGACTCCGATTCGCTCTCCAACTTTTCCTGCGACTCGGGAAACTTGAGCTTGGCGAGGCGAGCCAGCGAAGCCAACGGGCGTTCAGTCCGTCCATGCGAGTAGTAGCTATCGATCCTTTTTATGATATCTCCTACAATTGACAACGAAAACAGGAATTGTTAGCTTCATAACGAACACGTGCTTGTTGTTGTCGCTAATGCCAACAGTTCTTTTGTGTGTGCTCTGGGATGGATGGCGTCAACAATCATTTCGCTGCGATGACGCTCAAGGTTGACACGGTTATCAGAAAGGCAGGCCTCGTTATCGCCAGCATAGAGCACCGGTTAGCTTGTCTTGTTTTCGTGTGCCACAAACAACGCATCTTAATTATAATTATTTTCTGTTCAGTTGTATGCGTCAAGCGCGATCGCCAAGTTCCTTTTCACAACTTTTAATTGATTCGTTTTGCTGAGACAAACAACAAAAGTACATAAATATTTAACACTCACCCAGAAAAACATCAGCTTTGCGTTCGGCGCGTATAAATACATTGAATGTGGCGTTGGGCGATTCCGGCGTCAGTTGCAGCTTGAGGATTGCCGCTTTACGCAGCTTGTTGAGCGGTATGTAGGCGTCCAGTTCGTCGGTGCTGACATTTCGGGTGTCGTTGGTTGACTTGAATTTGACCAATTTCTTTAAATTGATGTCTATGCGAAAATGATATAAAATACACACATAAACAAGTTAACAGGTGTATTTTGCCATTCACTATGCCAGCGTACACAGCTGTTTGCGTTTAGCGTTGCCAGACTGCTAGCAGCACGTTGTGTACGTAATAAAATGATTGATCAACAATAAACCAAGTGCGAAACTCCAATAACGGTTGCACATAGTTGCACTATGATCTGCAGAAATTAGTGCAAGCTATTATCATTAGCTTCAATTATTAAACCATAAACATATAACCAACAGTTTGCGCGTTGGCAACTCTGCGCTTGTTTTGTGTATGTTATGCAGCAGCTGCTCTGTTGTTGGTGTTACTGTTGCTGTTATTGTTGTAGTATTGTGAAAGGAAAACACTTCTCAAAACATTTAACACAAAAACGATTGTTGCTCATTGTGAAATTAAACAAATTTGTTAAAAAACTGTACAACGCTAAAGTGGTGGTCAAGCAGAGTTTAATGTTGCCACGAAGCCCACTTGCCATTTGACATGACCAGCGGCATAATATAAATTTCTATTCGTGTACATCATCAACAACAGTCTCATTCGATTTTGGTCAGGCCACTTTTGAACTTGGCCATGGCAGTGGCCAAATGCATGCTGGCCGACCAACTAATGTGTATGTATTTGTATATATAATTAATACTATTGCCACATTTTGACAACAATTTAAACAAAAATTTGCCAATTTTCGGTGTTAAATAGTTTTGTTTTTCGAAATCGTAAATTTGTTCACATTTATACAAAGTGCGGGCTATAACATTTGTAATGTTGCGCCTGGCAAAACACACGCAACTTCAATTGATTTGTACAAAAAAAGCGGTAGCAGTGTTGTGTGTGTGTGTGTGTGCGTGTGTGTGTTATGTGAGTGGGAGTGCGGGCTTTTATCGGCTTCTCTCTCTCTATCTCTCTCTCACACAGAGAACGCAACAACTTCCGCAAGCTCTTTGATAACTGCGTATTTATAATAAGTAAACAGTGCAAATATTTGATAAAGTGTGAGGCATATTGGCTTCATGGACAACAATAATAAAAGCAATGTTAAAGAGTATAGGAGGAGCAGCTCGATTTGATGATGCTTTTACCAGTTGCCCAAGTTATATATCACATTTACGAAAAAAGCTCACAATGACACGGTCCGAGTATATTATTCATTTAAATTGATGTATATATATGTTCTTCCCAACATTTTGTATACGTTTTTTAACCTTTAAAAAGTCGTTGAATATGGATGACGGCTCTTTCTTTAAATATAATATTTAGGCTATTCTTTTTTGTGTTTCGAAATCTGCATTGAGGTAAAATTGAATAAAACTGAGCTCAAGTTAAGGAAATAGCTTATAAATGCGTTTCATATAATTTTTTAATTTTTCTGTCTATCTCTGGCTATCTCATTATTTTTTAAAATTATCGATTACTAATCTAGTTTCCTTCAAATCGATATATATCGATTTTCGAAT